AATGTCATTCGAAAGCAATCTATTGACATTTGACATCTCGTATTTTGATTGACTATTGATTAAATGGTCGTCATCTGGAATGCTTGTTCAGTAAATATGAAAAACTCGCCATAAAAATCATATTTCCTGTTGAATTTTCTATATAAAAATGTGCCATCGAAGTACATCATGAGTATATAAAGTGTCCAATGACAAAATAAGAGCAAGTAGCTTCAAATGCCCCCAACACAAGGGGAGAAAGAAGGCGAAATTTCGAACTTTTTCTTGAAATATCTCAATAAGTAGTGGTTTGTTCACATTTTCATTATAAAATTCGGTTTATCAGACAAAAATACGTGAGTACCGAAAAAAATTTTCAAAAAAAAAAACCATCGCATGATAAATGCAGTTTTACCCTTAAAAGTTACGGTTTCAAGTGTAACGATCCACTTGGGTGAAAAATCCAACAACAGAAAATTGAAAACACTCACTGGTTATATTTTCAGGTAATAGGAATTCTCCAAGATAAATATAGGTAATTGTAACAAACGGCATGTCAATCAAAATAAAATACATTTTCCACAATTTTCTTTCGATCAATCTCACGATAAGTTTATGTTCTGCGGGCTCTGTATAAGTAGGTGTGAAGTTTACCATCACCACAATTTTTGCCAATATATTTAATTCGAATGGGTTGCTGTAGGTGGATATTTGTGTTTTATCCTGGTTTTTGCTTTAAAACTTCGTTTTTCCATAATAAAATCGAATGGGGTGCGAAGAAGGGCTCAGTTGACGACTGGCATCCTTTTTTAACCGGAAGCCCTTCAAAAAACAGCAAAATCGGCTCAATGATGATCTAAAACTAAAATCGAAATACGCGGTCGCTATATAAGCGCTTGTCGTTTTGAGCCGCTGGTTAGGCCTCACTAAGTGACGTCACCCATGGAGCATGCAGGCCTTGTATCGAGGCAACCTTCCTCTACAAATCATCATCAATTCTACCAACCTTGTTTAAAGTGAGCGCGACTGTCATCTATGGTCCAGTAAATACAGGGTGACATTTTGAAAACTTCCCACCCTCAATATCTTCCTTTCAGTAAATAATATGAAAAATTGAGAAGACATGTCAATTTTATTTTCAAGGGGGGCACTTGAGATGAACATTTTCAGCCCTCTTCGTTCAACCCCTCAGGAGGGGTAGATGTTGCCCTTAGAATCTCAAATGGGAAGGGGGGTCAACTGACACATCATTTTGAAGGGCGTTCAATTCTCTTTCCAATGGTACCCTAGTTTATCATTTTCTGTTGATCAGTTTCCGAAAAATGCCGTGTATATCTTCCTTCCAGTAAATAAAATGAAAAATCGAAAAGATAGGTCAATTTCAATGTCGAGGGGGGCACTTTAAATGCATATTTCTAGCCCTCTTGGTTTATATGGAAAGGGCGTCAAGATGCTCCTTTTTTCTTTGATTGCGTTCAATTCTCTTTCCAACAGTACCCTAGTTTATGATTTTTTGATTAACAGTTTCCGAAAAATGTCGTTCTAAACTTACAGAAGTAATTGGAACATGCCTGCACTGAAATGCATTCAAAATCTTCCTACCATTTGGACTGAAAGGCTCAATACAATAAAACCAACCTGAAAACCATGCATATCAGTCGAAATATCAGTGCAGGCATGTTCTAATTACTTCTGTGAGTTTAAAACGCCATTTTTCGGAAACTGCTCTTCAAAAAATGATAAAGTAGGGTATATAGTTGAAAAGAGACTTGAACGCCCTTCAAAATGATGTGCATCCTGACCTCCCTTCTCATATCAGGTTCTAAGGGTAACCTCCTACCCTCCTAGGGGGTTGAACTAAGAGGGCTAAAAATATGCATTTTAAGTGTCTTCCTCAGAAATGGAATTGACGTGTCTTTTCGATTTTTCATATCATTTACTGAAAGGAAGATATTATCGGGTGAGAAGTTTTCTAGTGACACATTTTTCGGAAACTGCTCGACAGAAAATGATTAACTAGGGTACCGTTGGAAAGAGAATTGAACGCCCTTCAAAATGATGTGCCACTTGACCTCCCTTTCCATTTGGGATTTTAAGAGGGCTAAAACTGATCATTTCAAGTGTCCCTCTTGAAAATAAAATCAATCTGTTTTTCGATTTCCCATATTATTCACTGCAAGGAAGATATTGAGGGTGGGAAGTTTTCCTAATGTCACCCTGTATATTCACACACATACTTTGTGAATATAATTCCTGGATAAACGATTCAAGTGCTTATACTTATACCTGTTTTGCAACTTCAGATTCCTGTTTAGTACATTTCACAGAAGATAGTTCTTGTTTATTGCGTTATTTTCGTAAAAAAATAGTGTTCAGTCCAGTTCTTTCATCAGTTCAGTAGATTTCTGCCACACAAAAAGCATCCTATTCTCTGGCTCATTCCAGTATTTCTGTTATTGTAATAATTCTGCTGAATTATGTATCAACAATCAATTTTAGTTAGAGACTCTACATAGAAACCATTATTTGGCACTTATACCCTTTCGCACTAGACCCTTCTCATCTGGGGTCGTAATAATTCTAGTTATTAAAGCGTTTGACTTGACTTCATTCACTTGACCCTCCTCTGTAAGTATACGTTAGGCGGCTGAGATTAAGATCGTAGCCGCAGGGTATAACATGAAGATATAGTCATGTTGTAGCCATCTAGTGGCAAAGCTCTAAGGTAGGATCCAGAAATCGCGACACACACTGTGTGGCACTGCCATCTATAGACACACGTACAGACCCTTACGTCTATACGCTACAGAGTGGTACTGCAAGTAAACCACTCGGCTGACAGATGGCACTACCTGACATACTTGAGTGGATATTTCCACAACCTATTCAACTGCTAGATCTCATAACTAAGAGATCCAGGATGAACAAAGTTGCCCCAATTGTCAGCAGAAGCGAGACAGTACTGAACATGAAGATATAGTCATGTTTTAGCCATCTAGTGGCATAGCTCTAAGGTAGGATCCAAAAATCGCGACTCTGTTCATCCTGGATCTCTTAGTTATGAGATCTAGCCAAAGACTTATGTAATAAGTCTATGGATCCGATCCGATCCGATAACGAAATGAAAGGCATGTAAAGACATTGTATTCTATCGAAAGGCACCTGTGCCAATCACTATCCTGAGCAAAATTATTGAAAAATGGCACTTTCCTGTGCGGTGATTTGCATTTAATTTCGCGATTTGATAACGAGATGAAAATTATGCCATCCGATACCAATTGAATGGTAGATCTGAAAAACCTACCTGTGCCACCCCTCAATCTGAGCCAAATACACGGCACAGCGATGTATTTGCTGCCGTTATTCCGGACATAGTTTGGTCATGTGATAACGAGTTGAAACAAAAAGCAAATGAAAGGGGACAATGTCCCATTTGCGAATGTTCAATCGTGCCGCGATTCAAACCGAGATAAGTTAGTGGCAGAGCGTCTGTATTTCCGAGAATATTTAGTCCCTGTCGAGATAAGGGGTCTTGGGCAGATGCAGGGGGAATGAGACAGGCACGGTTCCATATCGCGGGGCCACACAACCTCCTACAACTAAACAGGAGGGGATGATCCATGCTGTTAGGAGTTTTAACAAGCCATTGTAGACTCAGGAGACACATATGGCCCTTATCGTGTGGCTGACGACCCAATGTATCGATTATGCAAGTAGGATGAAGCAGGTTCCGCAGTGGCTCGCCAGAGCGTTGATCATGTAACCCAGATGTTGTGAGTTCGACTCTCACACGGGGCGGTGGAGTTCTTTCATTTTCCATTGTCACTCGAAATTGGGGCTCTCCATCTTCATCATTATATGTATCTTTTCGGTTCAGTAACCGACAAAAATTATGACTTGACTTCTATGTATGATTGCCTTCCATACCTTTTTAGACATCCACTTCGATGCTTGGTATTACTATCAGCAAGAACCTTTCCTGGGAAAATCACGTGAGATCAATTGCTAAAAGTGCATCCCAAAAACTTGGTTTTTTGTTTCGGGCCAGGAGCTATTTTCCTTCCAGTCAGCTGCTTATGATCTATAAGGCACAGATCCGACCTGTCTTGGAATACTGTTCCCATACTTGAAGTGAATACCCCAAACATACCCTGAAACTGTTGGATTCTGTCCAAAAAAGGATAATTCGTCTCGTGGGTGATGCCTCACTCACAAACTCACTCAATTCTCTGGAACACCGTAGAAAAGTTGGCGATCTGGCTCTATTTTATTGATATTTTCATGGACGATGCTCTTCTGAAATATCAACAATTGTTCCTCCCTTCGCAGTCCCCGCGAGATTAATCCGTCGAGTTGAGGCTTCGCCTCCCTTTATGGTCACTTTGGAGACCTGCAGAACATCTCTTTCCAAAGACTCGTTCATCCAGCGAACAGCGAGGCTCTGGGACACATTGCCAAGGAAGGTGTCCCCCGAGGCATATAACCTCCACAAATTTAAGAAGAACACCAATTCCTACCTTATAAAATGGAAGGAAATTGCCGCCCCCTTACAGACAAGTTGTCAGAGATGTAGGACGAAACAACAGGGGTAACACAATGCATCCAACCGAGTGGTCTAAGTGAACTGAGGGCTCCATAAAGCTGAGTCCAAAATCAAAAAAAATCCAAGGGGTGGCTTAGGTAGGTTTTTGAGATCTAATATTCAATTGTTATCGGATGGCATAATTCTTATCTCGTTATCATATCGTGAAATTGAGTGCAAATTAGCACACAGAAAATTGCAATATTTCAATAATTTTGTTGAGGATGTTCAGGTGCCGTTCGATAAAATACAATGTTTTTACATTCCTTTGGAACACATATCATTCCGTTATCAGATGACGGTCGAAATTTGCAGCTGGCTCTCCTACTTTTAGTTTTTGGCAGATGAAACATTTAAAATGAGTCTTCTAACCCTATTGATGAAATGAATTGTTATGGCGCCGTCTCCTATTTCATCAGTCGAGATCGAATCTTTGCAGGAAATGTCTCCCCCACCGTACTCCGACTTGGGCAAGAGGGCCAAGGACGTCTTCAACAAGGGCTACCACTTCGGCCTGATCAAGCTCGACTGCAAAACGAAGACCGGCGGCGGCGTCGAATTCAGCACCGGCGGCGTCTCCAACCAGGAGTCCGGCAAAGTGGCCGGATCGCTCGAGACCAAATACAAAGTCAAAGATTACGGACTCACCTTCACGGAGAAATGGAACACGGATAACACTCTGGCAACTGAGATAGCCGTGCAGGATCAACTGTTGAGCGGCCTCAAGTTGTCTGGGGACATCAGCTTCTCCCCACAAACTGGGCAAGCTATTTATTTATTCATTTATTCTACGTACAGGGTGGGCAAAATTGGGCGTTTTCATGGGTTATCTCAGTAACTGAAGGAGTTATAATAAAATCGATATACATGTTACGGGTTCGATTTTAGAGAAACCTCGAATGCTACAAATGGAATTTTGATATCTTCTTTCGTTTCAGAGATACAGGGGGAAATTGAAAAATTGCCAATTTCGTTTTTATCTTCTGAGTACTTCATGATGAGAGATATTGAAAAATTTCGAATTTTTATCCATATAGAATTATGCGTAGAATCCATTGGCATCATCAGAAATTGAATACAGGGTGACATCGAGAAGATACGGCAGCCAATTATTTTTTTTCTCATGGTACACCTGTATCCTCTGATAAAACAACTTATGTTGAAGCCAAACCTTCCCTTGTTGCCTACTATCATGATCACTTCGAGAATTATGATCAGCCCCGTGGTGTTCATTATACCTATTGAAGAATCCAGCACTAGTGACATAAAATATTTTAATCACATTTTCAATGATATTTATTCTCCTACTTTGCTCTTACTTACTGCCTTTTTATAGCATTTTCCAGAGATGTCGGTGATTCCATAGCTGCTGGCGAGCAGTGTTATCACTGGAGATGATCCCAGTTGATCCTCGAGTGTATCATTGGCATCTTTCTCACAGCTGCAAATGTCGTAATCCTAACTCAATGATTATTACGGAAGATACAGAGGTGCAACCATGAGAAATGTGACACACTGAGTATATTTTTGCGAAAATTTCTAAAGTTGTCGAAGAAAAAGGAAGGAATGCCCAGGACTATCCAACTGTGCCAAAATATACGGGGTGTTCCATTAGAAAAAAAAAATTGACTGCCGTATCTTCTTGATGTCACCCTGTATACAATTTCTGATGATGCCAATGGATTCTACGCATAATTCTATATGGATAAAAATTTCAAATTTTTCAATATCTCTTTTAATAAAGTAGTCAGAAAATAAAAACACAATCGGAAATTTTTCAATTTCCCCCTGTATTTCTGAAACGAATGACGATATCAAAATTCCAATTGTACTATGTTATTCATGGTTATGAAACATGTAGAAATGCTTTGCAAGCCCTTTCTATCCCTTGCTTCAGACTTACCCAGAATCAAAAATTCATAACGTTTTATGGTCCGAAATTCTATAATCTGCTGCCTGCTGACATAAAAAACATCAGAAATATAAATCTCCGTAAAAAAACACATAAAAACATATTTGATAACTCACCCTCTTCCGTTTCTGAAAATTCTTGATAATTGATAAATTAAAAAAAAATATAAAGATAAATATTCACTTGAATAAATGCTCCTTTTCTCTTCCTTCATACTCTTATAAATTAAGTTCAGGTACTTACAGTTTTGCAATTTAATATTTGCATCGTAATATTGATTGCAGAAGAATGTTCCACAACTCAAGCCCTGCTTAGGTGGCTTCTTCTGATTTAATTTTTCTTGAATATAAATAGATGTTTTGTTTTATGTTCACATACATATAACAATAACTATAGGTTTATATTTTTATATGTTCAGTAATGTATTTGTACGTTCTAACTCTGTACATTCAAACTCTAACTGGATAAACTTACTGACTTACTTACTTACTATTCGAGGTTTCTCTAGAATCGTACCCGTAACAAGTATATCGGTTTTTTGATCCTTCAGTTACTGAGATAGCCTATGAAAACGCCCAATTTTGCCCAACCTGTACATGGATGGTTGGACATTAGATGTACGTCCACTGGACAGATAATTTGAAGCATCTAATGGTCATCCATGTTTGTACGTACATTGGATGTCCATTCAATATCCATGGACGTTTGGAATTGAAATGGACGTCCAATGGACGTCATGTGCTCTGTGAGTATAGCATAGTTGAGACTTGAAAATTCTGAAATAGTTGTCCCATGCCTAATAGGGATAATATTCCTTCCAGGTACAAATCCGCTCGGGCGAAGTCTGCATTCGTCAACGACCGAGTGGCCCTCAACGCCGACGTCGACCTCAATTCGAACGGGCCGATCGTGAGCGCGTCGGCCGTCGTCGGTCACCAGGGCTGGCTGGCCGGCTACCAGTCTGCCTTCGACACGCAAAAGTCCAAGCTGACCAAGAGCAACTTTGCGCTGGGCTTCTCCACCGGGGACTTCGTTTTGCATACCAGCGTGTAAGTAACATCGACATTCACTGTCAGCCTTGATTAACACGTTGACTGCCATGTCGGTCTGTAGGACCGAGAAAAAAATATCCTGACGTGCCGCCTCGGTCTCATAGACCGGGATTGAGGTTGATGCACCAGTCCGACTCGGCCTATGAGACCGAGTCAATTGAACGACTCGTGAAGCCGTCGGTCTGAATTATTGTCAATAATATTGCGGAGTGTGACCGAGACGGCTTCAGGGACAAGTTTGCATTGCAAATTATCTTCATCAGACACACAGACTGAGTCGGCGTGGCAGGCAAATCAGTATGTACACAGAATGTTTGGTAGGCCGATACTGTGAAATAAACGTTTATTCAGTGGATAAAATGTAACATATATTTTTTTTTAGTAAATATAATCGAGTATTAGTGATCCAAGAATACGTAATCTATATATATTCTTATTAAATTTTTTGTAACAATCCAGGAAAAATACTGGTTCTTCAGGACATACTTAACAGAAGGTGCGTTATTCATTTCAAATTAGGGGCTGATCTCTATCCTCTGACTCAGTGAATTTATACGATCTCAAAATCTGCTCATTTTCTAAACTAAACAAATATCACTTACACAATCGGGACACACGTGACATATTCAACAAACAAAGTTAAGAGAAGTATTTTGTACAGCACTAGACCACTAGACCGAGGCCGAAGTCGGCCGGACCGAGCTGCCAGACCGACGCAGTGTACACAGGTATACTTGTATACACGAGTGCCGAGTCGGTCTATAAGACCGAGCTGAAATTTTTGAGTTTTTTGGATCTAGGGTCTCAATTATCAAAAATTTCAAGGATGTACTATCTTCTGTAGGCTTAAGCTACATAGTCACTGATGGTTTCTGGGACAAATTTTTGAATTTTGTTTCGGCTCTTATACCAAAAGTGTGAATATGAGCCCGGCAGTCAACGTGTTAATCACACTAATAAGATGAACCATCCTTACGAGAGCAATGACGTCAGAAATTCTATTCAGTAGATGGCGGTATTTGCCGGAATTTTTCATTATTTAGAAGTCAACATCAACTTAAATCCAAATATAAGCATAAAAAAACCAGAGAGAATTAGACGAAGCTGCACAATACTTCACTAACACAATACAACAAGCTGCACCAGCTGCTACCAGAAGTATCAGTCCAAGCAGTTTGTTTCCTAATCACTTATCAATTACAATGTTCTTTATGAATTGCATGGTGTCTTGCTGTTAACAAAATTGAGAATGGTTAAAAACTTTAAATCAACTAACCACATTGATATATCGGAGACTGGAACCTTTGGCACAATAAATCGCTAACTACGTTAGCTATTTTGATTGATTGATTGTCTTTATCACCCCAAGAAACATATCTCTTTATAATAGGGATACATGAACACATAAAAATATCAATAATAATAACAGGTTAGCTAATGAATTCCACTCAGTGGAAACAAATTCATATTTTTTCTTAAGATGGAAAGTTATAACATTTCAATTCTGAGTAATCAAATCTAGAGTCACTGGATGGTGTTAGTTAGAAAAGAGTTCGGACACAGCTGAACTTCTGTCCTTTTCTTTTTTCTACATTACAATGGTTTGAGTGAATAAAAGAATAAGGCATATATTCTGCTCTTTGTCTTTTTCAATTTCTCTAGTAGTGCCTGATTATAGAGGTTCGATTTTCTGTACACCCACTTCAATTCATAGTGATACATTTTTCGCAGAACAACAGTTATAAACATGAAAAGAATGCATGTAACAACATTTTAATATGACCAAACATATTATGGATATACTTATAGCTAGTTGCTTACTGTATGTAAAACTGTACCCGATCAAGTTTAAAACATGAAGATTGTTTTGATTTTCCACCTCTTGCTGCATACAATTTTCACTGATAAATTTAAATTCAATGATATAATATCACATTTCAATTTACTTGATTTCCTCAGTTTCGTTCTCAAACTTTCAATTTCATTACGTAGTTTTGTAATCAATTCCTCTTCCTCAATGATGATTATATTTTGCATTTTGTGTGATGATAATATTGGATTTTTTCTTTGAATGGCCTTTTTTGTAAATTAATGGAACAGCAGATTCAGTCGAATGAATCTTGAAATCCTCTGTATGAAATTGGGCCTTTAAATATAGTTCCATTCTAGTCTGCTGTTATAAGAATTGAATTTTAATGTAAACTCACAAATTTTCCTTGTATTCAAATTAATTTTCCAGCCAGGCCGCTTCATTCATGATGTTTCCTTCGGAAAATTAAAAAAATGAAATCAATTCTCTTCAGTTTTTTTTTTACTTGGTTCTTTGGGATTTTCTCTCCTCGTTTCTATAAAATAAAAGTATTCGTATTATTTCAATATATTTTATAGAAACGAGGAGAGAAAATCCCAAAGAACCAAGTAAAATGAATGTACCACCTCCTCGATTAACCTACAGACAGTATTCAATTCTCTTCAGAATTCCCACAATTCTTCACACAGCAGGACACTTTCATTTATGCTTTTTCCTTGATGCTTTATGAAATTATATTTCAATTCTGACGGTCATAAAATTTATTGTCAAATTCGAACAATTTTGAATGAAAATGCACGGAACGGCTATGGTGCTCTTGTCAGAATGGAAGGTGTCTAACTTATATATAAAAATAAATCTAAACAATCAAAAACACTAACAGTTGTAATTTCTGTGTGGGAACTCTTATCTAACTAATACCATCCAGTCTAATTGATTCCTGCCTAATGTTTTTCAATCAAATTGTTCTGACCAGGTTTTGTTTGAGATTTACTTTAAATCTTCTTACATCATGTATATTTTTCAATTCATTCAGTAATGAATTGTATAAAATTATTCAGGTTATTGATGCCTAATTTTCACTTCACTGGCTGCTTTCTCCATGAAATAAGATTGTATACCTCAATACTTATTCACATTCAGGAGTACTAGGCCAAGCAATTATCGATCAAAGTTTAGAATTGCTGCATCGCCATCTACAAAAAACCATCAGGAATCACGTAGTACATTCCGTGTAAGAATATAGCGGATTATGAGATAGGGAGTGTCTCACTTATCATTGGTCTAGTCACTAGGTCAGTTTACATTAGTGATATTATTATTGATGATGATCAATGTAAGTAATTTTAGGTGGCCTGGGGGCTATATTTGAATAGTCTAATAAAATCAAAAGTGGATGAATATCAATGTTTTATACATGGTTCAATAACACAATAAAATACTAACAAACTATACAACCACTAATAGTATCTATCTCTAAAACTCGATTCTGTATCCTGCAGGACATATTCATGTTGATGTTTGCTGCAGAAATAAATAATTGGTTCCCTACTATACTCTCTAAACATCCTCAAATTTGGAGGGTTTCTTAGTGTATAACGGGTTCTGCTATTCATGCCTTCTAGTTTATTTAACTGGTTTGTACTATAGTTTTTCTCATATTGGCGACAGAGAATCTCACTCATGCTTCTGGTGGCAATAAGCTGTCAATATTAATGTCATATTTCTCAATGTCTTTGTGCCAGTTGTCTCTGATTGGCCTGACTATACTGCCTAAAACTTATATTCAAGTTGATACGATAAGTTAATTCTTGGCTGTTAGATCCCAATGGGCAAATTAACGTTCTCTGACCCCCCATCTAACCCAAACAATATTGTTAATATCTAGTGAACATGACAGTGAGGACGGGCAAGAGTTCGGCGGCTCCATCTATCAGAAGTTGAGCCCGAAGCTGGAGTCGGGCATCCAGCTGTCGTGGGCGGCAGGCAGCAACAACACCAAATTCGGAATAGGCGCTAAATACAACCTCGACCAGGACGCCGCACTGCGCGCCAAGATCAACAATTCGAGCCAGATCGGTTTGGGGTATGAGCAACGTTTGCGCGAAGGTGAGAATTCAATGGAAATTTGTATATAGTGAGAACGTGAAATTTCACCCAACCTCGATAGCTTGTGCTGTTCAGAAGTTGGAGGAAAGGGGGGTGAAGTTATTACGTCCTCAGTGTATCTGCTGTGCTAAGCCTAAAACTTCACTTTTTCGTCAAATGAACCATTCTTGGGCTATTTTTAATAGGTTTTGTTGACTTTGAAGTGGTACATACATGAATTTCAATGGCTCAAGAAATTTGGTGAATGTAAAAACTTCACAAGCGTGATTTCCACAAAATTTAATTGTATATCGTAATTAAATCATCTCTGCTCATGTACGACCTTCTGCCTGAATTAAACTAGGAATAATTCATTCACCATTTTGTTTCTGAGCTTTAGACTTGAAATTTTCATTAATATTTCATATCATTTGAATTCTGCAAAAAACAATCAATGTGCAGTGGCTTCTAACATTGCTAATGATTTCTTTCTCATGTTGGACATACCACAAACTAATAATTATAATAATAATGAATGTTTTTATTGGACAGACATTGTATCAGCTGATATATACAAGTTGAACACTTGATGAATGCCTGCCAAATGGCAGAGTTCAAATTACCTCTTCCACTCAACCAGTAAAAACTCATTCATTTGCATTTAAGTCAATATGAATGAGTTCAAATATATATTTATGAATAACTAACTACTAAAATCTGATGATAATTGAATGATACATGCATAATAATCTAATACATCATTATGTTTATAACAGAAGGAAGAAAGATGACAAAGCTGAAAAAAGAGAGAAGATAATATATACATATTTATGAACATTAGAGATATTGTAATAGATCAGTTGTGAACAGATATCGACAGATAACTATATCAAGGAAAAGAAATCCTCCAATTTTTCAGCCTCTGTTTAAGGACAAAAACAGATACACTTTTCAACTCCTCTGGAAGCCAGTTGTATAGCCTAGTCAACTAACTGATTTTTCTTTCAAAATACTATGCTTGAAAGTGGTATCGACCATATATTTTTCAAATTGAGTTTTTTTTTGTTGAATATGTTATGGTCATAATATTCCCATCAAATACAACCTTACTGCAAAATATTTCATTATTATCAGGTCGAAAAATACATAAAACTTCAAATTGAATTATCTCTAGTCACATTTAGTAATATTTTTCCATTCTCCATCACCTGCATCCCCTACAGCATGACCATGAACTCAGATCTGAAATTTCTAAAGAATACCTAGGAATTGTTATGCAGCACAAAATTGTAGATGTTTCTTTGGCCGAAATTATTAAAATGAACAATTGGGGTGCAACTTTATATCATTCACTTTTCTCAACAGAATCCATAAAATGACCGTAAAAACTTCTAACTCTAACCTAACCCTTTTCCAGCTTACCCTCCTTATTTTCTACTTTTCCATCCGAAACTTGAGCGTGACAATCGTCCTTGTCAACCGTCAACAACCGGCAATATGATCGGCGGGAAATGCAAATATAGACTTGAGGGGATCGACACAAAAAACTTATGGGGACACCCATTCAAAAATCCTTCAAAATCAACTTTAATGTACATACTGGAAATGTGAAGAGGACAACCATATCAAGAGCAAAACATTTTCAATCAATGTCAAAAAAAGAATATTGCATCATTTTAAACACAAACTCAAATTTACAATATAATGTGCAGACCACTGTTGGAATATGGACATATAATATTCCAGAACTTGAGAAATCCTTCCTTGAAAAATCTCAAAGTAGCTGAATCAACTGCTTTACGTATCATTACTAGAATGAGACATCCTAACAATTTCATCATCAATCCACCTAATAAACTACTGTATGAAACAACGAGAGTACAGCCTATCGAGGAAAGACTAGCCCCATCAGGTGGAATACTTGTACTGGTTCATTGTACCAGTATTTCATCTGATGTGTTAGTGAAACATGTCGTGTGATTGAGAATTTAGTGAAAATCTTATCGTTTGTGGAGTTTTTACAAATACTAGCCCACTTAACCTATAAATTCAGTGAGAAAGCTGAAAACAAGTATTCCATCTCCCCATTCTGTATCAGAAAGAACCATAGAAGAACGCAATATAAACACCCTGAACACTGAGCTTCTACTATTAGAGACCAGTTATATGAAAACTATGTAATTTTTATAACATAAACCTTGATGTATACATGAAACTTGTACTGTGACCGGAGGCCTTTTGAGTATTTATACTCACTAAAGTTCATTTATTATTATGAATTATCTCGAAATCATCTTTCTGGGGTTACCACTGGATAAAATTGAACATGCCATTTTTTTATTATTCTTTGTCAATTTAGTTGTTGATATATTTTGTATAATGATATGTTTACCTATAGGTATATAATTATGTACTTCCTTATACCAGAGCCTATTCTGTCTGGGAGTTATTTGTTCAATAAATAAATAAATAAAAATAAGCTTAGCACGGCAGTATTATTATCAATTTTGTTATTCAACCAACTAGTTAATCAATGAGGGCGATTAATAATGGAAATATTTTAATTTGCTAGAACAGCGAGAACGTTGTATTTATACATTTATCAATTGAAGATATAACTGCAGTCAAAAACAAGTTCTGGTATAAGGAAGTATTTAATAATAATAACAATTCAAATGCAGCAGGGAGGGTGAAGTTTTTTTGTTCCTGTTGAAGAGTTTGCAACATAAAGGTGAAATAAATCATGTCTAGTTTGAGTTTCCTATTGTTTCATAGTTTCCTATTGAAATAAAATTTGATTCCAATCTTTCATTCATAATAAAATTTGCAATGAATAAAGATTCAAATCCAATAATTCTGCAAAGAACAATCATAACTGAAATATGAAGAAGTATTTATGTTCCTGGAAATTTATAGCCAACAGTGAATAGCTATGGAGATGATGTTTTTAGTCCTTCTAATAGAAGAATGAGGTTTGTTTCGTTTTCTAGTTCAAAACTTCAGTCCTGCCTTCCCCAGTCAGCAGTGCGTTCTTCAGTTTCTTCCTAATTGTTTATTCTCACTCTATTCTATCAATAGGCCGCCGACCCTAGACAAAAATAGAGCAAAGTTCGCAAAAATTTGCACATTTTGAAATTGTTCTGCATGTTGTTAGACTATGTCCCATTATTATCTATCCAAATTTGCAGCTTCAAAAAATCTATAAAATTGGGTGCTAAAAAACTTCGAAATTTTTCGACGAATTTTGGTTTTTAGCCCAAAAGTCTTATAACGCAGCTTCCTATAGAAATAGCCGATCAGAACTTTTATTAATGCTGGATAAATTAACTACAATTTTATTCCAATTCCATTTCATTAGGCCCAATGCAGCCCAAGGTACAGGACCTCAAAAATTTGCTTTTTCCCAAAAGTTGAAAATTGCAGTTTAGGCCATTTTTTTAGCAAAATATCGGCTCACTCTACGAGGAAAGTGACAGGGTATAAAGTTGTAGTATATTTATATAGCTTCAATTTGAACTTTCGTATAGGCCTAATTAGCGATAGAAAATAACACGACGACAGCAACTTGAACACTTCTGAGCCGTTTGTTTTGATGATATGACCAATAGGCACAAACAAAAAACAAATTTGAACAAATGAAAACAAAGTAAACATGCCGCTTTGGCAGCTTTCAAGAACTCCAATAGGTGGCGTACGCTTGGCGTACAATCGTGGCTGTTGTTTTGACAGGATCGGCTTCATTTTTTTCATTCTCAGCGTCGAAAAATTGGTGCATTCAAATTAACTGCAAATTGGAACGTTCAATAGCTCCTGTAGGTAGAAAATCATGATATGACAAAAAAAAACAAGATATACTTCATCTTGAACTCACCGTTTCAGAGTAAATAATTATTTACGTTCGCTAAAATGCTGTTTAGATGTGCCTGTTTCTTTGAAACCCTTCATATGAATCATATATGAAAATTCACATATTATGGGGGTTTGAAACAATATTAGGTGGTCAGTTTTCTTGTAAAAAAATTCTAATATAATTTCATGAAAAATGTGCCCGTTTTTATTTTAATAACAACGCATGACACGTTCGTCTCTGGAAAACTGATCATATCGATGGTTATTCCTACCAGTCCAAATTTGGTGAGAATCGCACGACTGATAGCTGAGATATAGAGGGGGGAGGGGGGAGAGCGTTTGAAGTGAAACACGCTGTATAAAAAAAGTAATATTTCACCTTGAAGGAATGGAATTTAAGTCATTCTGGTTGTATTCTAGGTGTCACGCTTACATTATCTGCACTCATCGATGGAAAGAATTTCAACACTGGAGGCCACAAGATTGGTTTAGCATTGGAATTGGAGGCCTAATTCGAAATCCTACCTGTTCTGCAATATATTAGAGCCACCACATATTTAAGCCTGCTGTCTTGTAGATATATAATTGTTTCAAAGGGACTTTTAGAATTAACATCTCCCCATTCCACTTTTTTTCCTTCAATCAGAAATTATGGTTTATTATACAATGTATATAATTATGTTTGAAAAAAATCTTAGCTGTTGTGCAATGATTCATTCGGAAATAGTTTTGGGAACTTTAATATTCATGTTGAATTCAAATATGGTTACAGGCAAAATTGATATTTATTATTTTACACAGCTTTCAAATTTGTGGGCCGCATCCAGATAAAAAAAAGTATTCAAGTGTAAAGGAAAGGACAGTAATAAATAATGATTTACAGTTTTTCAGTGCTTTTATTCACCTTTTAAATAATGATACAATTTTCATAACCAAAATTCGATATTAAACCTTGGTCACTTCCTGGTCCCTCATATATAAACTTCTTTTTTCTGTGACGGGAAAAAAGTTTCAAATTTCATCTCTGTTGACAGGTTGCAAAATGTCACTTTTTTTATAAATTATTTTTTTCCCACGGGAAAAAAGTGAGTTCTTTTTTCCCGCGGATATACAGGGCTTGTATTTCAAAACTTACCACCCTGCACATCTTTTGATCTGTGAAGATTACAGTTTTCGAAAAAAAAAACAGGTCGATTTAGATATCGAGGGGGAAGTAAATTGCCAATATCAATTGAATTCTACGTTAATCTCCTTCGCCCCCAGAAACCCCTACTTCGAAATCTCAAATGGCACCCCCTACTTTGAGAAACATAAAATTAAAGGTCTATCAATAAGCAAATCAACCAAAATTATTTTGCATACAGGGTGGGTCATGAGGAACTGAACATACTAGCTCCTACCACGAACAGATACCCCTGAGGATGATACCGCATGGCCATCCAAAATGTTTTCTCCTCTTCTACAATAATATACAGAGTGATCTATAGGTTTGGGCAAAAAATTATATTTTTGTCATAACTTTCCAACAATTTCTTTGAATTATTTAATTTTTTGATGAAACATTATACATACCCATTCCTATAGACTGACGTGTAGAAAATTGAAGAAATTTAGGACATTACTTGTCGTAAAAGAGGTCAGTTACTAATTTCCAAATTCCACTGTTCCTGCTGAATAATTTGTCAATTCACCTATAGGGTATCATCGAAAGCAATGAGATAAATTGTGAACTTTTCATAAAATTCATTTAAAAAATATTTGATGTACTTTTTGTTACATTTGAGTTTTTCTTTTTGCCTCCATCAGGAATATTCGGCAGTAGGATACTGTATTATTAGTATACCGATATCTTGTATCAACAGATACTTCAAAATGGTTTATTCATTAGAAAGAATAGAAATTATATTTATTTATGGAGCTGAAAATCACTGTGCTAGAAGAACGTCTAGAGTTTTCAATGAAAGACATCAGGACAAGAATATTATTCACCAATCCATCGTGGCTCTAGTGAGAAAATTTGAAGATGGGTTCCGTTTGCAATAAATAAACTATCCAACCAAGTGTTCTTGATGAAGCTGATGCTCAGATCGAAGTGTTGGGCCACTTTGCTATGGATTCGATGAACTCTATACCCAAAGTGTCGAAAACCACAAACTACAAATATTTCGGTTGGTTCCATACATAAAGTGCTGAAACTGAATAAATTATTCCCATATAAAATTCAAATTCACCATCAACTCACAGAAGACGATCATGACCGCAGAATCGAATTTTGTGAGATAATGTCTGGGAAGATTCAACAAGATGCCAGTTTTCTTGAGCACATTTGTTTCAGTGATGAATCAACATTTTATTTGAACGGCTTTGTTAATAAACATAATTGTAGATTCTGGGACAATGAAAATCCATACATATTTCGATAGGACCGTACTCAGTTTCCTGAGAAATTCAATGTGTGGGCTGTAGTCCAATAAATAAAGGGAAAAAGTTTACATTATTTACGCACTATTTTCATCTTCCGGTTGAGTTGCTTTTGGTACCTCATGAGGCAAAGTTTGACTGGAAAACGCGTGCGATGGCGGAGAAAATGGCCCCTAAAGACCAGAAAAATAGGTTTTCAGCCAATATCTCCTAAAATATGGCAGTTAGAGATTTTCGGTTCAGATAAAAATTGAAGTTCAGTTAATTTTCTACAAAAATGGTCCCTATCATTTTTCTCGAAAATTTGCCCGGTTTCGAGAAAAACGGCACAAAGCGCAACTCGAATAATGAGCTTCTTTGTATGCCGGAGAGTACAGTCCGTGTATTTACACATCGGCGAGGGGATAAATTATTCAATAACTTTGTTGAAAATGCATATTTTCTCATGATTCAAAGTTCATGTGAAAGAGGAATTCTGCTGCCATCATACCCTGTGAATTGAGTCACGCTTGACTCTTTTGGCCATATCGGAACATGGGTCAAACTTTCTGCTCCCGGTCAATTTTGACCTCGCCAGGAATTTGTTCCTATTTTTTTTGTATTGCACTAATTTACTCAACATTCTCTCGATTATGGGTCCTCATAAGGTCCTTCGTCATCCCTGAAATTTATATACACTAATTTTTTTTATTTTCATTTAATCTTTGTTTATTAAAATTGGGATTCAAATTTTTTGCTGTTTTTGGAGCGCGGGGAAATTTTGTGAACAACTTTGTTAGACGAAGTCGTCCATTTTTCAATAAAATTAGAAAAAGCGGGGTCAAGGAAAAAACGCACTTTTTTTCCGGTGGTTTTTTTCTCCGTGCTATTTATTTCTAACATTTTATCACCTTAACTAGTGTAACGGGGGAATTCCCACCTTTCCATCGATGTATATAAGTCATATCTTTGATATCCCGAAAAAAAACAGTATATCTAAATGTACACGCTATAACTTATTACTTATTTCGTTCCTCCGTCGTTCGCCGCGTGTGTGCTCTACGTGGCGTTCGGGTCGTCTGCTACAAACCATGCGGCCACGCAGGGTATGATAGCAGCAGAATTCTTCTTTCACATGAACTTTGAATCATGAGAAAATATGCATTTTTAACAAAGTTATTGAATAATTTGTCCCCCCGCCGATGTGTAAATACACACGGACTGTGCTCTCCGGCATACAACACAGAAGCTCATTATTCGAGGTGCGCTTCGTGCCGTTTTTCTCGAAACCGGGCAAATTTTCGAGAAAAATGATAGGGACCATTTTTGTAGAAAATTAACTGAACTTCAATTTTTATCTGAACCAAAAATCTCTAACTGCCATATTTTAGGAGATATTGGCTGAAAACCTATTTTCCTGGTCTTTTGGGGCCATTTTCTCCGCCATTGCACGCGTTTTCCAGTCAAACTTTGTCTCATGTTTAATGAGGTACCAAAAGCTACTTCCAACTGGAAGATGAAAATAGTGTTGCCTTTTTTTCCTCCTTCATTTATTGGACTACTGGTATTGTGGGAAATGAGATAATTGGACCACTCTCCATTGGAGACAATTTAAGTGGACAATTTTACCTGGATTAATTGGAAAATACAATTGATCCCCTCATTACACATTTTTTTCTATAGGTAAGAGAATGGTTGAATTAACGATTTTCTAAGCAGTGAACTGGCAGAAGAGGGGCCATAGGATGGCCAGCAAGATCTCCAGATTTGACACCTCTTGACTATTTTCTGTGGGGTCACTTGAAAACAATGGTTTATAAGACTCCTAGAAAATATTGATGAACTCAAAAGAAGAATCATTTCAGAATGCAGACAAATCAATCGGGAAACGTTTCAAAAAGTTCGTGAAGAATTCGAAAATAGGTTGTATTATTGTCTAGAGAATTAGACACGATTTGTCAAAATAAATCATTCTAGTTAGTTTTGAAAGGAACTATAGTAGGGTATACCATTCCCAGCTGGATGAATCACCAACACATTTTGTTCTGATTGACAGAAAAGATGTCATTGTTCACTGAAACCATATACAGTGAACTCTTTGATAGCTGGCAACAGTTCACAAGTACGGTCCTGGATTATTTTCAATTCTGTATACGTTAGTCTATTAATTGGTGTTGGAGTGCATAATTAATATGTTCCATGAGAAAATGAAATGAATCAAAGAAGCTATTGAAAAGTCGTGACAAAAATATTTTCTTGCTGAATCCTATGAATCACCCTGTTTATTATTGTAGAAGAGGAGGAAAAACTCACCTGGTTGATTTGATCATTGATAGACCTTCTATTTTATGTATATCAAAGTAGGGGGTGCCATTTGAGATTTCGAAGTAGGGGTGTCTGGGGGTGAAGGGGATGAAAGGGATGATCATTCAATTGATACTGTTATTTTACTTCCCCCTCGATATCTGAATCGACCTTTTTTTTCCGAAAATTGTTATCTTCGCAGATCAGAAGATATGCACTAAATTCTCAATTTTTGAAAATTAAATCACAATTTAGACTGACAGATATTTGCAAATATGATTACTTCAAAACCCCAAAAGAATGAAGATGCCTGCAAAAAAATGCCTGCAAGGCAGGTGTCTTTTCCTGTTGAAAACTTCAAATTTCAAGTCGATACTTTTCTGATTTCAATATAATATAATACCCTAACAACACGCTTACATCCTAGGGACGTACCTAATTTCAAACTAGGACATCCCAGGGATATCCTTTTTGGGACAAAGTACATACTAGGGACGTCCCAGGGACATCCGCTTTCAGACAAAAAGGACATCCAAGGGATGTACCGAGTACGAAGAAGGGATATCCCTAGGACGTCCCAAGGATATCCCAGAGACATCCCTTCGACAATAGAAAGAAAATGTAGGTCGAGTAGGGATTGAACCCGGGACCTTTAGCTTATCAGGCACGCGCCTTACTCCATTGGCTAATATGCCTTCTGAAGATTCATGTATTGAACAGATTTATAAACAGGACTAAATTACAGAAACCTGAATGAATAAAACTTTGTTAGGATTCGGGTATAATATTATATATTATCATTCTTGGGTGTTTGAAAATGAGGGGCATTATGCATTTACGATTTCTGTTTGCGAAAAATGGTAGGTAATTTCTTGGGAAGTTTTGAGACTATATATTCTTTATTTTCATTACAATTATTTTCCGGAAGAAATACATTTTCGAAAAAATTCGACTCAATATTTTGATGAAATTCAATGACTCTCTGATGTGAATGGATATCAGATATTCCAGGGACACGAATGGGATAATCTACTGGACAACCACTGCGGGACATCCCCTGGATGGCCCGCAATCATGTCCTTGTTCAGCGGGACAAAAAGGGGACGTACCTAGGACATCCCAGCAAACATTGAACTAGCGGGAGGAGTCCGGCCTAGTGCAGGCTAGTCTGGGAAAGTGACGATGCCGGGGTATTGGTAATGGGCCGATCATTTTCCGATGCCAAGTAACCATCAGTTAAAAATACGATGATGGCCTTGTGATGGTGAGATGTCTGGAACTAATTGAATACTAACGAGATCTGGCCCTTTGCTGGCCAATTTCCTGTTCGCTACTCGTCCCCCTGGTGGATGTTCTGGGAACGTCAACATCAACAATCAGCTGATCGATATCATATGTGACTAAGATGGCTGACTGTCGTGAGTGGTGATCGCGTACTAGTTTGTTTATGATCGCGTATGTATCGTTTTTCTCTGGTTTGTTGTCGAATTAATGTGGTCCTCTCTTTCCCTGGTGGTTATTTATGATGGCAGGAGTATTCTCAATTGATAATAATAGAAGACGGATTCTTCAATTATGATAATATTGAGTAAGTATCAAGCTACCTACCTAGTGTTTCGAATTTCATTATTAAATGCATGTGTTTGGTATCTCGTAACCTCATATACCTAATGATCATAATAATTGGAGTTGGCTACACTTCTCCGAAAGCAACTATCATTTTTAACTCGTTTGTTGCTATCAGAAGCAATCTTAGGTTATGTGAACCTGTCTCTTTATTGATGAACTAAATAACAATAAGGTATCAGCTACAGAAATACCTGTGCCAAGAAAATAATGAGAATTAAAAAGCTCCATGTTATCACGTCATCAGACTATATTATCAAGTTATAAACTCATGCAACTCATAGGCCACTAATATAACTGATGATGCATTTTATATTTCAGAAGTACCTCACAATGAAGAATCAACTTTGAAGGAATGCTACCCAATAAGATGTAGATTCCACATACCAACCAGTAAGCAGTCACTCCGAGAAATTTCATCGTTGAAGAACAGATAGGTTGAGAAAATATCATTATGTCATTCATAAAATTGTTTTCTTGGAATCTGGTATGTGTCTGATTCATAATGAGAGGGTTATATTGTGAAATAAAGAGTTACTAGAACTTTCAGATTCATTGGATCCCTAAAACCCCTACATTTCCCCTGGATAGTATGTATCCAAGTCGATAATTGGCCATTACAGTCCCATCATTTATGTATATGCTGGGCTTGCTTTGGGAAACTCAATGTGTCGATTATGTTCTACTGGCCTTTTGCCGGGGAACTGAATATGATTGCTGGGTACCCAGCACTGGGACCAGCTGCCGGCCGCAGTGTACTGATATATAGAGTCCCGCATATGGGACCATTTACTGGGCCGCTGATGTCATGTATGGGAAAAATATATTAGGCCATCAATGCCCCGCATCAAAATGTTTGCTGGGATCCCTGTGTTGTTAGAGTATCTTCTCAATATTGACTCGACCTCTTTTGTCACAGAAAAAATAGTGTATTATACACGGGAAAATATTACATTTTAGCGTGATTTTAGCTCACGGATTTTTGTCTCCCTCTGCTACGCATCGGGAGACCAGTCGGGAGACAACACAACCTGGAGGTAAAATCTACAACTTTTTTCCTTGTATAATAAATAGCTATTAATCCTATGAACTTTCGCCTAGCAACGCTGAATTTACCGACGGTGTTACAAAATGTTACTATATCTGATCATAATTCAAAACTTTTATATATATTATACCGGTTACATATAATAGTATTTTAAAGTATATGTGGATGGTGGATATTGAGGTACCTATTTCAAACATTCGCGATTTTTCGAGCACGGTGGCCTATTTTTTTCAGATATTTTTTAGATAACACGCTATCTTGCAAAATTATCGATAATTTGTATGTACTTGTGCAATTATTGCCGAAAATTTGTTTGATAAATCATAATAGAAAGTAGGTATGTATTTCATAGGTGAAGATCGGTATCATAGAGGAAATCAGTTTCAAAATAAATATCAATAAATCGGTGGTAGATATTCTTAAAATCGCGTATTATTGTGAAACGGTGTAGGTACGGTAGTAGAAAAAATAGTATAGAAATTCGAAAACACTGGATGTGATGTAAGATTGCATTTTTCAAAAAATAGGAGTATTATACAGGGTGTCCGGAAATTATGCGCAAAAAATCAAGGAGGTGATTCTACATGACGAAATAAGAAATTAATTCTATATATGTACGTGGGTCCGGAAATGCAAAGTTTTCAACATACAGTGTGTTGAAACTTTTGGAAAAGATCGTTTATTTATGAATATCTCAAATGCCCTTACACCGATTTGCTTGAAATTCGGCAATGATATGTTTTGTCATGAGGGGCTCATGAAGTCATGATTCAATTGGAATTTTGAGATTCAGTGGCGTCCCAATGGGCAATCTACCGACTATTATTGTCAATAAAATGTGCGCCACTGATTTTTTTGAATTCTGTATCTTCGTAACCTGTTGATCAACTAAAAATACAACATTTTGGTTAATTGTTTTGATAATTTGCTTCATTTCCATAGAAAAAAATATAAATACCAATTTATCGCATGAATTTGTGCCAACAAAGTCCTTCAAAAACTGGGGTGAAAATAAATACCTGATCAATTTCCATAGACAAAGAATAAGTATAAAGATTCATTTACTTCAAATATTTCTTGATACATGTTTGACACACATTATTACACTCTGTATATTGAGTATTGAGCACTATTTATTCTCGGCCCAAGAAAGCGTAGCTTTCGATAATACAAAGCTTGTCAAACATGTAATATGAAATATTTTGAGGAAATTAATCTTCATTCTTATTCTACGTCTATGGACATGGATCACACATTTAATTTCACCCCTGTTTTTGACGCAATGTTTTGCACAAATTCATACAATGAATTGGTTTTTTTTTCCACGAACACGCAGCAAAATAGCAAAACAATTCAGATAAGACCAAAATGTTGTATTCTCAGTTGATCATCAGGATATGAAGATATAGAATTTGAAAAAATCAGTGGCGCACTTTTTATTGATAATAATATTCGGTAGGGTGCCCCCGGGACGCCACTGGATTCCACAATTCCATTCTAATTATGGCTAGATCAGCCCCTCATGACAAAGAATATCATTGTCGAATTTCAAGAGAATCATCAGTGGAAGGATATTTGAGATATTTATGAAAAACCGACTTTTTCTAAAAAGGATGACACAATGTATCGTGAAAACTATGCTTTTCCGGACCCAAGTATATGTAAAATAAATTTCATGTTTCCTCATGCAAAATCACCCCTTTGATTTTTTGCGCATAATTTCCGGACACCCTGTAGATCAAAAGCAAAACTCATGCATGTGGTGTTGTGGTGTACGCTGGCTGTAGATGAAAAATGAAAAAAGAAGAGACCAAGAAGATTCTTTTGTAGTTAACTTCACTTCTATTTATATCATTAATTTCAAGGTTATGTTCACGATGTTTTGTTTTGACTTTTAAGCCGGGGGGGCCCGTCTCCGACGTTGACTTTATGGTTGTGCAAAATTGTCACGTCAGCTTGAAGTTTTCAATATGCAAGCACCCCAAACCGGTAAACTTTTAAATAACCAAGGAAGGAATTTATCTAAAAACAGTTTATTAGGACTAACCAGCCTGAATCAAGAAGTAGCTCTGTTTGACTATGACAATGTTTTGATACAAAGAAATTACATTGAAAATGAACAAGTCAGAATTGTATCAGGAGGAGCATATTTTCTTGCTGAATTTGTTGGAAAAGGCATGTTGACAGCTTCTATAGAAGGTAATCTGTATCTTGTTGATATGTATTATTTACCCCATCTTGATATAAGGACAACCCAAGGAGAACCCAGGGGAGAACCAATCTGCATGGTGTATCACTTGATTCTACCAGTAATACCTAAGGTCAGAAATGAACTAAACTTACCACATTCAAATGAAAAACTGGCTCAAATAACAATCAAACATAGACTTTTAGTAGGTATACTAGTAGGTATTATATCATTCTATAATGTAAATTTATTGGTAAACCCGAGGGTAAACCATAATAATAAAGTTACAAAAATACTTAAACATTGGGTACACAATAATTCATTCAATAATCTGTGTGTGCATCCTATATATTGACTTATTTTTGATATACATCATATACCTAAATACATATACTTATTGTTTTAACAATAATAATTATCTAATGAGGTTTACAGTGAAAACAATGAGAACAATGAATAAAATCCAGTTTTATAAATCATCTATTGACAGTTCACTTTAGATTATCCATTTATTTATTTGTGATTTCCAGTGATTTCACTTGTTTGTAAGGCTTATTTCTAATGTGCAGTAGTAAAACATTTTAGATTTTTGGTCCAATGCAACCAGAATTAACATAATATTTGTGGTTGTGTCACTGAGAACTACACACTATATTAACCACTATACATTTCTATATTTTTTCTCAAGTTGTTCAATATTTAATAATTTGCTTTCTTGAAGTAATAAGTTTGTGGGAAATATTTTGTTTTTATACAACATTATTTTAATTATATACTTTTGTGTCACATATAGATATGTGTCCAGAGATGTCATTATATTCTTGTGTGCATTCCCCATACTGCCAGCCCATAATCAATTATAGATTCAACTAGTGCAGAATTAATAGACAATTTTGAAGGTTTTTAAATTCAAAATATATGTCATAGCTCATGAAACTTGAAAATCAATTTTCTTATTTTACTGGTTGCATAGTTAACATATAATTTCCAATTCAAGTTTTCATCAAGTAATATGCCTAGATATTTCCGAGGATATTTCATACACTCCTTTCTCTCTATTGTATTTTTACATTTGCAAAAAGTAGTTTCAATTTTAATTTATGATCGTGGATTCTGCTTAAGGAGCGGAGTTCTGGCAAAATTTAGGCCAAAAGTTATGAATTTCAATGTTAGTAAGCTATAATCTAGCCACCTTTTCATCTTAGTGATTGCCACTTTGGCCCTTTGAACAGTATAGATTTCCAGGTATCGCCAGCTACTATTATGACTGAGATTATGACAGTATCATCCGCAAAACAATATACTTTCCCTTTTTCTATGACATATATACGTTATGTCATTAATGTAAATATATAATAGCAGTGACCCCACCACAGTACCCTGTGGCACACCACATGTCATCTTCAGTGGATTTTACAAATCGGAAGAAATTTAAAATAATATTTTCGGAAATTTTAGGTGAAATTATGATATCCATGATTTTAATAGCTACTTGATGAAAAAAATTGCAGCTCAGGATTGTCTGGGGATTAGGGTTTGCAATCCCGGAGTGATTATACAATCCCGGGATTCCGGAATCAAATTGATACGAACCCGGGATCACGGGATTTCGGTATCGGGATTAGAATTTGAAAAAAGTATGGGGTATACTGTAGATACGTAATGATCACATAAATACTCGTATATGAACAAAAAATGTAATCTATACATCAAAAAGTACAGAGAAAAAAGGCCGAACATTTATTCCTGTTGACTGGACCAGGAGCGTACAAAAATCCACTTATAAAGGGTGTTATCTGCGAGTCGAGTGCTAATTTTTGTGCAAATGGTACCAGCTGCGGAAAATACTCTTTCATATTCTACACTTGCGAGTGGTATAGTTGTTAGAAGATATGTATCTTTGTTGTCACCATTTTCGAAAAGGGTAATTTCCTTTGTTATAGTATATCTAAATAGGTTGAGTCGGTGACACACTCGGTGACGCTTGACTCGCAAGAGGAATTCTATATTCCTCATCATCTTGTTCATCAAATATTGCCTCTGAAACTATTAAGAAACGTTTTGTATGACTCACGAGTATCTCCATAATTACTTTTTTTCAGGAACCTCGAATAATAATAATCTGATTCACTTGACGAAAGCGAAGTCTTATTGTTCAAAGTAATCCCGAAATTCCCGGAATCTAATCGGATGTGATCCCGGGATTCTCGGTATGAAAATATCACTAGGACCCCGGGATTTCCGGTATCGGTATTTCGGGATTGCAAACCCTACTGGGGATGTATGAAAGATTTTGTGTATAAGCCACATATTTTTCAAAGGCTAAGATTTTCTCTAATTTAAAGGGCTCGGATGTGTATTCAAAAAATTGTAGGCCTATCGAACAATCCATTTAGACGTGTTGAATTTCTATCAATTTTTTTTGTAAACATCATTTCAATACTTTCGCTCTGATCACCCGGTATTTCCATATTTAACTTTTCGTACGTAAAAAGTTACGCCCTCTTCCAAGTTCGACGAGATAAATAGGAGTATGTGAACATTATGAGATTATCGTAAGCCTCATAGGCATCAAACAATAACCAGTACTTATCGAATTATCTTAAAAACAAATAATTTTATCGAAATTCTACAAGTGACAAAAAATACTCGAAAATGATTGAACACTTGAAGAAAGATGGATAGGGAGTCATTAGCGCACGTGAAAAAAATATGGGGGTAAGTGTGTACTTGACCCCCAGCATTTTGAATATTTGACAGATATTTTCTGTTTTGTTACTCTCGCACGATGTAACTCTTTGTGCTGAAGTAATGTACCAATTTTGAGATTAATATCTTATTAAATACGCGAGTAATTAGTAACAACAGTTTTCAATTTCCAACTTTGACACCCTGTATATCGAATATGAAGGGCTAAAATGAAAGATTGTATTAAAAACTCATATTGTTTTTTTTCTAAGAATATATGGTCAATGGATTGACCTCTTTTTAAGGTTTTAGGTAAAACAATGCAAAATATATTGGGTTTCGAGGTAGTCCACATTTTATATGAACTTGAACATCATTCAATTTTAACAAAAAAAGCATTACTCTTTTGATATTGTGTACCGAGTTGTGTGCCGTTTTCGGAATATTTTGATTTCAAAATGATGAAGTAATAAACACTCTTACTGGTATAAAGGCCATGTATAAAGTGAGCATTCTCCTGAACTATCTCCTATTTATTGAATCCAATAACAATAACATCATCATAATGCTGCAGTTAATAATTAAATAAAGAATGACGACAAGAATAGAATTGAAATAAATTTTACTTTGAATTTTATTGAAGAAAGAGCCAAAGAGTCTATTCTATGGAGGGGGATTCACAACAAGAGTTGAAAGACAGTATATTGGACATCATTCGAATCACCTCATACTCAATGAAAATATTTATTCGTGAAAACCGGACAACATTTTGGAACACTTACTTTTACTGATTGAATTTTTTATGATTCTGTGAATTTTATGTCAATTTTCTGCTTGTGATTCTTTGTTTTGATCAATAATTTTAACATTTGAATTATGTTTATACTTTTGTTTCCGAAAAAATAGGAAATTGTTTTCAATAATAATTAATTCCTACCAGCATTAGTGATTCATTCATCATTTCCAAATAAAAATATTCCGAGTTTTGCCAAGAGTATATTTTTGGTTTAAAAATCAATGATGTTCAAGATTACATGAAATTTGGACCAGAAAATCTAAACTGAAGAAAGTTATGTTTGAAATTATATTAAATATACCGTGTAACTTGCGCCTTCTATGAGAGTTAGATATGAAAACAAATTATTTGATGTGTTAGTTTCCAAAACATATTCATACAAAATGTCATTACAATTCGCCAGTAATTGAGACATAATCGTAAAAAAAGTGTATGCTTTATTTTCAATACGTCATACCTTGAATATGGATCCTATCAGAAACATTGTTTATTGAGCAAACTCAACTGAGTTCACATTGTTCTACCCTCGGTTCTACCTAATGGGCCCCCTTTTTTGAAACACGATGCATAAATACTGTGATTTTGAATTTTTTTCGCCCTTGAACATTTGTTGCAAATAAAAAGAGAAAATCTGAGGAGTAGAGTGGATTGCTACCTAAACCTGAATGAAAAATCACAGAGTGTAGCACCTTGGCCACTCCATATATTGTTTCAAAGTTACAGTAAGATGGCACTTTCTGTGGCACTCTGTGTAATAAGGACATATAGCTGAATTTCTGGAGATTTAAAACATGTTTAACATGTGTCAGATCCTTTATTATCACCAATACATATCTTCACTTCCTGTGCACGATGTTCCACGAAGATAATAGGGACTCCTCTTCGTGCTCTCCAAAAGACGAAAAAAAATCAAATCAATTCCTGCCTGATTGGCGGACTTCGAGGTCATTAGATGAAGTTACGATGACATTTAGCAATAGGGACTTTCAATCTATGCTAGGATTTAGAAATGTTTTCTCCATTGTTAAACGTCTTCACACCGTCAGATGATCACCTTGAAATTCGCTAATAGGAAAAAATAGAGTTCCTAAATGTAATTGACACTGCTGTTTTGACGTTCTTTGAATAATAAAGTACGGACACTAGACAAGCAGTGACAATCAAACATAACCACAAACGATTTTGAAGCAAATCATATATTTTGCCGGACAAGGACAAGAATATGTTTTCCGCTTAGATAAAGCGTAAGCGTAATATCAATCGACGGAAAAAGGAAAAGGATCCTCGCATCTTCCATCTTCCACAAGTCCTGGGAAGAGTACATCCATACATCTTTCTCTGTCTTTGATTTTTGTATGGGAGTGCATAGCGTCTCCTCGAGTGGGTAAAAGGGCACAATAAATTGATTAGAAAATTATTCTTTCTCGAAATATTGAATGAAAGGCTGAAGGACCTCAATGGACGTCGATATAAAGTTGGTATGTTTATATATATACCAACGAAATACATATACTATTATTATGAAATAAGTCTTATGTAGGTATATATACGTTCAGTTGAATATTTTTTCATCACAAAAGTTCAGAATGGGGTAAAAACTGATAAATTTCAACCAATGAAACATACTTTTATGTCGTATGAAACAATTTCACTTGTACAAGAGTGGTAGGTAATAATAAGTAATCAATAAATGAACAAATGATATGATTTTTCAAATGCAAGAGTTTTTCATAGTATTGTTCATCGAAACTATGAATTTTGCTCAAAATTGCCTGGATATTTGCTTGTTCAGTTTTCTTGTGTTTCTCTGAAGATATTTGCTGATTTTGTTTCAAATCTGAAATAATTTTTAGGTAATATAGTTCAGAATTTTGCTAACTCTGACTTTTTTATCTAAATCTTTTTGCTCCAACTTATTTTCCAACTCTCTATTTTTTTCTTCTATTTGTTTCTTTAATTCCTCACCCTCTTCCACTCGCAAAACTTGGATTTTTGAATATTCCTGCTCTAAAAATTCATTTCTCAAGTCTTTTTCTTTCAAAATATGTTCTAAATAAATTTCATTATCTGCAAGTTTTTCGTTTCTTGTTTGTTCTTAATTGTAATAGGATTCTTTTCGATACTCGCTCAGTTTATAAATTGTGGGTTCGGCTCTTTCTCTCAATACGATCCTATATTCTTCAACATCAAATCTTCCGTTCTGAAGTGTACCTGATAAAAATGCGTTGAAAATTGTTCAATATCCGGCTCAAGTTTCGTTTAGCTGAAATCAGTTATGGAAAAACTGTTGCCATGGCGACGATCCTCATGGTAACGAGTAAACAAAAATCATATTCCTGTGGAGAGGAAATGCGTAGTTGCCAAGTTGTATCTGGTTTAGTATAGATGAAATCAGTTGTGGAAAAATGTTGCCATGGCAACGATCGTCATGATAACGAGTAAACAAAAACCCGATTCCCGAGGTGAGGAAATGCGTGGTTGCTAAATTGTATCGGGTTTAGTATAGCTGAAATCAGTTATGGAAAAACTGTTGCCATGGCAACGATCGTCATGGTAACGAGTAAACAAAAATCCTATTCCCGTGGTGAGGAAATGCGTGGTTGCCAAGTTGTATCGGAGAAATATTGCTTCATTCATTAATTTCAAAAACACTCTTCAATGTAACTATCCTTCGCGTGCCAAGCTATTCGACAAAAAGAAAAAGAAACAGAGCCATTTTGGAATATTCATCACGAGGTATCGCGCAGGATATAGGAAGAGAGACAACAGGTACTGATTGACTAATACAGATGGAAACATCTCTTTAGGCCCACCCACATTTCCATTTGCCTTCATTTCGATTCACTCATACCTTTCTTCACGCGCACATTTTGATTCAGCATTCAGCAGCAGTCTTCAAACATACACGAACGATGCCTTGCTACCAAATCTGAACGATGTTGGAAAATATATGTTTTTTAAGAAGAAGGTTGATTTAAGTCGAGTCAGGTTAGATTGTTTGGAAAAAGTAGTGTCCTTTTTTATGCAGTCTTCAAACACACACGAACGATGCTTTGCTACCAAATCTGATCGTTGTTGAAAAATATATTTTTTCTAAGAAGGTTCATATTTAACCCGAGTTAGGTTAGATTGTTTAGAAAAAGTAGTATTCTTCCTTATGCGCTATTTGTTCCGCACTATTTTGTCGCTCGCTATTTTATCTAGCTCTGTTCAATAACAAAGCCTATTTTTTCCTGACGTTATTTCCATATATTATGATTGTCAGAGAAGTATAGTAATTTGGGAATTAATCAACGACGAACAGTCTTCAAGAAATTGATAAGAAGATAAAAGTTATTCGAATCAAGTTATTGTTCGAATACTAGCAAAAACTTTTGTGAAACAAAATTTGAGGGTCGAAGATTGCGCTGATTTTTTCATTTATTGATTAAGAAATGTCACAAGAGTGTCAGTTGAAAATGTCTTCGTTCGGCAAACTTTCTCTTCCGAGAAATCAGAAAGAACCTTATTGCAAGTCTAAATTTAAGGGACACAAATATACGGAAATATGATTTTTGTTTACTCGTTACCATGGCAACAGTTTTTCCATAACTGATTTCAGCTATACTAAACCCGATACAACTTGGCAACCATGCATTTCCTCACCACGGGATTTTGTTTTCTGTTTACCAGTTACCATGACAATGGTTGCCATAGCAACACATTTTCCATAACTGATTTCAGCTGAACGAAACTTGAACCCAATATCCTATCAAGAAATTTGGTTACGTCGCAAATTTTGTGGCCAGAAACTTAATTCCATGCCGGTCGCATCATATTCTGTTTCCATTTTTGTAGAATTACGTTATCCGATGGAAATTCGAATAGAGTGAATTGATTTCCCGATTTCTCACAGTTGGAAACTCCACAAACTTGCATCTTTCTCCTAATTATCTCAATTCGTCAAACCTTTGAAATTTATGTCATGTACGTCCGTGTATTGTTAGTTCCTGTTTTTTCCATCAATTCATTCGTGGTTATGTCTGATCATGATTATCAGTAGAGTCACTGGATGCTATTAGTTTGATAAGAGTTCGGACACAGCGGAACTTTTGTCCTTTTCTATTTTCTATAATACAATGGTTTGAGTGAATAAAAGAATAATACATATATTCTGCTCTTTGTCTTTTCAATTTCCCTAGTAGCGCCTGATTGTCAGATACGATTTTAGAGGTTAGATTTTATGTCAGATCAATCATAGCCGTAGATGGACAATTGATATAGGGTACAAACACTCACTTAAATTTATACACTTCTAGCAGAACAACTGTTATATAAATGAAAAGAAAGCATGTACCAACATTTTAATATTAGAAAATATACACATATTGATTAACTTATAGCTATAATTCCTTATTGTATGTCAAACTGTACTCCAGTGATAAGTATAAAACACGAATTTATTCATATTAAATTCAAGGTAGGTATTCTCAATATACAGGAAGTAACATGAGTAAGTTCAAGTGAAGTATTCCTGAGACAATTTTAAGAAATAAAGTCTTTATAAGCTTGTGTCCGGAAATGCTTCATTTCGGAGATACAGGTTGTTGAAATACAGAGAACAAATCATTTTTCGATAAACATTCCATCGAAAAAAAGTAGTTTAGGAGGTTTAAGATCGATTTAGTAAATATCTCCAAAACGATAACCCCCATCGAAATTGAGGCCCTTATAATCATTCCCTTGATACATAAATAACTATTCACTTTTCACTGTTGAATTTTGAATTTGATCGGCACCAAAAACGCCATTCAATAATATATCACGTTGTAGTTTCCTTTTGTTTTCAAATTTTCAATTTAATTATGTAATTTTACGATCATTTCCTCTCGAGTTTCCTCTTTCCATGATTATTTTGTTCTGTATTTTGTGTGTCGATAATAATGAAGTTTTGTTCTTGAAATCGTCTGCTTTGTAAATTGATGGAACAGCAGATTCTCTCGAACAGATTTTGAAATCTTCTGTTTGAAACTGGGCCTAAAATATAGTTTCATTCTAATCAGATGCTGTTATATAAGAAGTCAATTTCAATGAGTATCTCACAAATTTCGCTCGTCTTCAAATTGATTTTCCACCCAGGCCGTTTCAATTCTGACGTTTATAAAATTTATTGTCAAATTCAAACAATTTTGGATGAAAAAGCGCGGGACGACCGATGTTGTATCGGTGGTAACGCTATGGTTCACAATGCAATGTGTGTAACTTAATTAATCTAAACATTCAAAAACCCTATCCGTTGTCATTTCTGTGTCCGAACTCTTATCAAACTAATAACATCCAGTGACTCTAATTATCAGTGCTTGTCATAGTGGCCGTACTCTAATATACAAAAAACGTCGAAGCAGCAGTGTGAAGTACAGTCGCCTTAAAAAAAAGCATACAAGTATATTACAGAGAGAAATTAACGTCATCGTATTCTGCATAAAACGGGCTATCGGGAATGATTGTTCACCAAATGTTCACAGTAAAGTTGTCATAGGTTCTCGAAAACACGAAGCATTGGCTGAGCCAGTTTTACACAACTAGAACTAGGATCCCGAAATCCTATCTTTTTAATACTTGTACGCTTTTTTATTGAATGCGACTGTACATTTAGGAACTCTAGGAAAAAATTAATATCAGTTATTGGAGTTTCTGCCCATTCAAACTTGATCATCCTGTATATTGTCTTATGTAGGTGACAATTATTTGGCCCCATCGTCGAAAATTGTGTTGAGAACGTTGAGAGAACTGAGTTACAACCACATAAAAGGAAACCTAGTCATAGTGCGAGCAAACTCTGGCGATTTACTGAATTTTGGTCTAGCAGTCGAGAGAGCGGTGAATGATAATTTGCGAGTAAAACTGCTCCCCATCAGCGATGATGTCGACAATGTAGGAGTGCCGAAAACGTGCAAAAGAGGCCTGAGTGGAATTATATTGATCCTCAAAATGGCAGGGGCAATGTCCGAAAGACAACATTCTTTGACCGATATTTTCAAATTTTGTAAAAAGTACTCCAACAACGTTGTCAGTACAGATATCGATTACTCTCTCCTATCAGACAATGACGGTGGTAATGAATGTACCTGCAATAGCAAAAGTGCTGTGCACTACGGTGTAAAGAGGATGAGATCAAGTCTGAACCTAGCGCAAGGTCTTTGCGTTGAAGCTTTGAACCACATCGTAACTATTCCACAAGAAGATTCTAATATAGAATTTGACGATTATGGAGAAGATGGTCAACATAGTAAACTCCTTTTGAAGCCCGAGGATAACATCGTTATTTTATTGAATAACAATGGTATATTGAACAGAAATGAAGAATGGCTTTTTGCTAAAGAGATATTAGATTTCCTAGCTGGATCGTCGGTTCAAGTACATCGATTTTATGTGGGAAATTTCATGAGATGTTTGGAACGCAATAATTTGAATCTTACGGTTATGAAAGTTGAAGATAAGGAAGTTTTGAGCTACCTTGATGACCCTTGCAGTGCACCAGGTAAATAAAGCTAACATCTTCGTTTTTTGAAACGTAAATTTTAGGTGCAGTATTTGTCAGTGTTTTTTACCCAACAGCCATTTATCAAATTCTTGCTCCTCTGACTGACCCTGTATAAAACACCATGAAGAAGCAATCCGCCGCTCTCTATCATCACCTAACCTACTATCGATATCTTACTCCGAACACCAAGCAGTCACATAATTCACAAGCGTCTATCATCTCAGTTTATACAGGGCTTTCAATTTCAAAACTTACCACCCTGCATATCATTTGATCTGCGAAGATTAAGTACAGTTTTCGGAAAAAACATGTCGATTAAGATATCGAGGGGGAAGTAAAATGCCAGTATCAATTTAATTCTTTGTTCATCCCCTTCAACCCCATGCACCCCCACTTTGAAATCTCAAATGGCACTCCCTACTTTGAGATACATAAAATTGAAGGTCTATCAATAATCAAATCAACCAGGTGAAAAATGAGTTATTTTGCATACAGGGTAGGTCATGAGGAACTGAACATACTCCTACCACGAACAGATCTCCTGAGGGGAATACCGCATGGCCATACAAAATGTTTTCTCCTCTTCTACAATAATATACAGAGTGATCTATAGGATTGGGCGAAAAATTATATTTTTGTCATAACTTTCCAAAACTGTCTTTGAATTATTTGATTTTGACATTACACGTACCCGTTCCTATAGACTGACGTATACAAAATCAAAAAAATTTAGGGCCGTACTAAAAGAGGCCAGTTACTAATTTCCAAATTCCACTGTTCCTGCTGAATGATTTGTCAATTCACCTATAGGGTTTCGTCGAAAGCAATGAGACAAATTCCATGTATGCCAATGTTGTATAGGTGAACTTTTTATAAAATTCATTCAAAAAAATGTTATGTACTATTTGTTACATTTGAATTCTTGATTTACTATGGATTCGATGAACTCTATCCCCAAAGTGTCGAAAACTACAAATATTTCGGTTGGTTCCTAACATAAAGTGCTGAAACTGAATAAATTCTTCCCATATAAAATTCAAATTCACCAGCAGCTCACTGAAGACGATCATGACCGCAGAATCGAATTTTGTGAGATAATGTCTGTGAATATTCAACAAGATGCCAGTTTTCTTAAGCAACTCTGTTTCAGAGATGAATCAACGTTTCATTTGAACGGCGAAATCAATGAGTGGGCTGGTATCCTAGGAAATAATTGGACCACTCTTCATTGAAGAAAATTTAAATGGACGATTGTACCTGGATTAATTGGAAAATACAATTGATCCCCTCATTACACAAAAATCAGAGAGGCAGATTGATGATCATGAAAATATGTTGTTCAAAAAATTCGTAAAGAATTCGAAAATAGGCTGTACTATTGTCTAGAGAGGACATTTTGGGCAATTGCTTCGAATACCACGAATACTACTCAAAATTGCATTTCTTCTTAGACACGATTCGTCAAAATAAATCATTCTAGTTGGTTCTGAAAGGAACTAGTAGGGTATACCATTCTCAGCTGGTTGAAACACCAACACATTTTGTTCTGATTGTCAGAAAAGATGTCATTGTTCACTGAAATCATATACAGAGTGAACTCTTTGATAGCTGGCAACATTTCACAAGTACGGTCCGGGATTTTTTTCAATTCTGTATACGTTAGTGTATTGGTGTTGGAGTGCATAATCTTCCATGAGAAAATGACATGATTCAAAGAAGCTGTTGAAAAGTTGTGACAAAAATATTTTCGCGCTGAATCCTATAAATCACCCTGTCTATTATTGTAGAAGAGAAGGAAAAACTCCAGATGGCCATTCGATATTCTCCTCAGAGGCCTCTGTTCGTGGTAGGAGTTTGTACAGTACCTCATGACTCACCCTGTATACGAAATAAATATTTTTCCACCTGGTTGATTAGATCATTGATAAACCTTCAATATCATGTATCTCAAAGTAGGGGGTGCCATTTGAAATTTCAAAGTAGGGGTGTCTGGGGGCGGAGGAGATGAACATAGCATTCAATTCAATACTGTTATTTTACTTCCCCCTCGATATCTAAATCGACCTGTGATAAGTTTTGAAATGAAAGCCCTGTATATTGCAATGAACAAAAATAAATAATATTTATAGAAGATAAAGCAACTTCAGCAGGTTATTGAACAATATCGAACAAACTTATTGCATACTGGTACAGTGACCTCAAGCAAGCATCAATAATACTTTCAGAGCCGCTAGCTATTTTGTAATCGAAACAATATACAGGGTGACATTTTGACCACTTCCCACACTCAATATCTTCCTTGCAGTAAATAATATGAAAAATCGAGAATACATGTCAATTTTATTTTCAAGGGGGACACTTGAGATGAACATTTTGAGCCCTCTTTGTTCAACCCCCTAGGAGGAGTAGATGTTACCCTTAGAATCACAGATAGGAAGGGGGGTCAAGTGGCACATCATTTTGAAGGGCGTTCAATTCTCTTTCCAACGGCACCCTAGTTTATCATTTTCTCTTGAGCAGTTTCCGAAAAATGTCGTGTCAACTAGAAAACTTCCCACACTTAATATCTTCCTTCCAGTAAATAAAATGCATATTTTTAGCCCTACTGGTTTAACCTCCTAGGAGGGGTAGATGTTATCCTTAGAACCTTATATGAAAAGGGCGTCAAGATGCACATTATTTCAAAGGGCGTTCAATTCTCTTTCCAACAGTACCCAAGTTTATGATTTTTTGATGAGCAGTTTCCGAAAAATGCCGTTCTAAACTTACAGAAGTAATTGGAACATGCCTGCACTAAAATGCCATCAAAATCTTCCTACCATTTGGACTGAAAGGGTCAATACAATAAAACCAACCTGGAAACCATGCATATCAGTCGAGATATCAGTGCAGGCATGTTCTAATTACTTCTGTAAGTTTAAAACGGTATTTTTCGGGAACTGCTTATTAAAAATTGAAAAATTAGGGTACAGTTGAATAGAGACTTGAACGCCCTTCAAAATGATGTACATCTTGACCTCCCTCTTCACATGAGGTTCTGAGGGTAACATCTACCCCTCCTAGGGGGTTGAACTAAGAGGGCTAAAAATATGCATTTCCAGTGTCTTCCTCAGAAATGGAATTGACGTGTCTTTTCGATTTTTTATAACATTCACTGAAAGAAGAGATATTATCGGCTGGAAGTTTTCTAAGTGACACGACATTTTTTGGAAACTGCCCGACAGAAAATGACTAACTAGGGTACCATTGGAAAGAGAATTGAACACCCTTCAAAATGATGAGCCACTTGATCCCCCCTTTCCATTTGAGATTCTAAGGGTAAGATCTAATTCTCCTAGGGGGTTGAACCAAGAGGGTTAAAAATAATCATTTCAAGTGTCCCCCTTGAAAATAAAATCGACATGGAAATATACGTGCCGTGGGAAACGAAACGAGTGATAAGAAAATGAACAGAGTAATTGATTTTTTTAGATTTCCGTTTTCTAATTATCCTTGTATTCTTGTCATCTGCTGCTCAGATTCAATTGATTTTATTAGATGTTGATGTTAATTCATCCTTGTTACCTACTGCTCGATCAGATGTATTCTCATTTATGAACTTCTATCGGTCGTGAGTATTTTCACTCAGACAGGTCAAAAGAATTTCAAGTATGCCATAGTACTTCAATTTGATTCACTCGGATTGTTCTAGAACTTCGCAGGCAGTTTCTCAGATGGTAGATTTTTATAATACACCATCGCATTAGTATTCACACTATCATATAGATCACCCTGAATGCATAAATTTTAAGCACCTTCGTTAACAGGTTGAGTGCCATGAGAGACCAACATGGTCTCGCACATACTTCTGACTTTGTGGCCGCGTGAGACCAATATGGTCTCGCATATATCCACAACTGATTTATTGGCTGCATATCTCCACAGCGGTCTCTCGCAGCATTGTGAACTAAATGGCGTTCGAAACAACGCGGCCTGGTGGTACAGAGACATATTTTGGCCTGTGGATATGAGAGACCAAATTGGTAGTACGTGGCTAGGAAATGTTAGTACTCTTTTTTTTTCTCACGCGAATATTTAGGTACTTTTATTAGTTTTCTTCATTTATACATCATCACTATGTAACAAAATCATTCAGAATATTCTAAGAATGAAATAAATATTATTCATTGAACGATATACCAACTGTTAGGAACTGCACTAGTCGACGGTATATCATTTCTGAATGTTTGAATTTTTCTAGCACCGACTCTCTTTTTGATTTTGGGACGTTTTCTCGGTTGTTTGGAAGATGCATTCTTCAACGATGACGAAGAATCTACTGATGACTCACATTGATATTCATCAGAAAGATACACGTTTCCAAACAGTGATTCCTCATCTTGATTGCTTCAGTTTTCGTCTTCATCGGACAACACCTCCTAACATAACTTCGTCAATTGCTTTTGTTCTTTCTCGTACGAGGACATGATGTGAGATGTGACTCTTGCAGCATCACGAGACAAGTTGAGCCGGTCTGCCGATCCCCCGCTACAATTCTCAACATGCAGACATGCGCATAGCGTAGTGACACGTTAGTCTCGCACAGCCGCCTGAACAAAATGGTCGAATGAGGGGCCGTGTGAGACCAATGTGGTCTCCAAAATTTGAGCGCCATTTTCAACCTTCCAAAAATTCCGGCACATCAAAAATAAAAGTAAATATCAACAGTATGTTAGTATCTGATGTTTTAGGCAAAAATAATGTATCGGCCTCTGGAACCGATATTTTTCGATACATGGTGGCACTCAACCTGTTAAATTAAATTTTCTTTGAACCAGATACAACCTGAAGACCTGTGTTATTTTCGAGTTTTTTTGTTTAATTAACTCCAACTCGGTGGTGATCTTCAAGAGAATGTTCCAAGGAAGTAATTTACCCTTCCACAGTTCTCGCAGTTCCACCAAGAGATAGTAGGTATATTCTATTGTGAAAACTTCTGAATAATATATAATAAAAATAATATTGGTAACAATAACAATGATCAAAATAAATTTACAGGGTCAGTCAAATGACCAGGAATTTGAAAATTGGCCATATTGTGTTCTTTGAGCAAACCAGAATATGAACATTTCAAGTTTGTTTGTATGTTCCACAGGTACTAAATAAGTTTTGATAAATTAAGATCATCATATCATCATGTATACTAGGCCTGCTGGAAAATTTGAAGATGAGCATTCTTGAAGATACTAGTGAAAACTCAAAATTTTTCAAAAAACCGCAATAATTCAATATTGATTTATATAAAGATGTTCAAAATTTTCCAAACTTCATTCCAATGGGAATATCGAAAATTTTTAACGAACGGGTTACGTGATAACCTCTGTATGCCGGGTGTCAACAAATCTATAACTTCTGGAATGTTAGTTTATGTCCGATCATGGCCACCTAGTTGCAATATTGAAAATGACTCTAAAAGTAGCAGAACCAAAAAGTAGAAAATAAATAATAGTTTCAAAAACTGAAGAAACACGCTTTATATAGCCAAGCTAAAAAGAAGTATAAAATGAAATCATAAAAGTGTGTTGATAAATAATCAATATATAGAATATACTGATTACAGAGGTGCTAATATTTTCTATGTTGTGTACCTATTGATCAACTCCTTTTTGGGTTGGCTATCTGTAAAAGCGTGTTTCTTTAGTTTTTTGAACTACTATTTATTTCGAGATTTATTTTCTACTTTTTAATTCGGCTAACTTGAATTTCCCAATTTTGACCAAATAATCATAATTTCCGTCCCAGAAAACCCCCAGATACGAATTTTGTATTGAATCGGATCATAATTACAAATCTCGTTCGCCATATTGGATCCGCCATCTTGAATTTTCTAATGTTCGATATATCGATAACTATCGATTTCTTCTCAATATATTGGGAAAAAGGAGTTTATTTCATTCATGTGACCCCTAGATGCTTTCGTCATATATCGATAACTATCGATACATCGATATCGATAACTATCGATTTCTCCTCAATATATTGGGAAAAATTAGTTAATTTCATTCGTGTAAACCCTAGATGCTTTCTTGATATATCGATAACTATCGATACATCTATACATCGATGACTATCGATTATTCCTCAATATATTGGGAAAATGAGTTTATTTCATTAGTGTGACCCCTAGATGCTTTCATCATATATCGATAGCTATCGATACATCGATATCAATAACTATCGATTTATCCTCAATATATTGGGAAAAATGAGTTTATTTCATTCGTGTAAACCCTAGATGCTTTCGTAATATATCGATATATCGATAAATATCGGTTTCATCTCAATATATTGGGAAAAGTAAGTTTATTTCATTCATTAGTTTATTTCATACATGAAAATATATTGCGTAGGTAGATTAGGGTTTGCAATCCCGAAATACCGATACCGGAAATCCCAGGGTCCTGGTGATATTTTTATACCGAGATTCCCGGGATCACATCCGATTAGAACCCGGGCTTTTCGGGATTAGTTTCGACCAATAAGACTTCGCTCTCGTCAAGTGAATCAGATTATTAGTATTCGAAGTTCTTGAAGAAAAGTTATTATGGAGATTCTCGTGAGTCATATAAAACGTTTCTTAATAGTATCAGAGGCAATAATTGATGCACAAGATGATGAGGAAGATAGAATTCCTTTTGCAAGTCAAGCGTCACCGAGTGTGTCACTGACTCAACCTCTATATACAATAAGATATCATCAAATTGAACAAAAGAAATTACCTTTTTCGAAAATGGTGACAACAAAGGTACATATTCACTAACAACCAACAACTATACCACCCACTAGTGTAGAATATGAAAGAGTATTTTCCATAATACCATTTACGTGTGGATTTTTGTACGCTCCTGGTACAGTCAACACTGTTAGTAATAAATGTTCGGCCTTTTTTTCTCTTTATTTTTTTCATGTATAGATTAAGTTTTTTGTTCATATACGAGTATTTATGTAATCATTACGTATCTACAGTATACCCCATTCTTTTTTCAAATTCTAATCCCGATACCGAAATCCCGGGATCTCGGGTGCATATCAATTTGATCCCGGAATTGTATTACTACTCCGGGATTGCAAACCCTGTAAGAAGTCAGTAGTTTTTATGTTGTTTTAATTAGTGTGGTTGAAGATTCTTATAACCTTTGGTTCGGAGAAAAAATGAGATTGTTTTGAGTGAGGCGTGGGAAAAAATCGATATATCGATATATAATTTCAGAAATCCAAATATCGATAACTCGATGTATCGATAACTATCGATATATTGAACTTATCGATATGTGAAATCTAATCGCACAGCCCTATTCATAGTTACTGCATGGATTTTAGTTGGAATCGAAAATATGATCTTTCATAGTGAAATAGGTCCATATTTCAGTGGTGTAAAAAAAGTAATATACACCTTGGTAGTAATAAATATTGTTACCACGGGACCTTATACCCCTCGGCCTAAGCCTCGGGTTATAATCTTTGTCCCTGGGTGAAAATTATATTTTTTCTGTGACGGGAAAAAAGTTTTGCATTTCATCTCTGTTGGCAGGTTATAAAATGTCACTTTTCATAAATTACTTTTTTCCCGTGGGAAAAAAGTGAGTACTTTTTTCCTGGATATATATCACATATATATATACACTGTTGATGATGGCTTTTGTTGTGCTATAGTTCCGAAAAATGAGTCAATAATAACGTCTACGAGAAAGAACTGCAAGCCCTTTCATCTTCCATTCGACTTCGAGGTTGCGTATATTACTAAACAACCACTAAATTCGCAATTTTTTGAAATCAAATCACAGAATTAGACTGACAGAAGTGACATCAGATATTTGATTACTTCAAAAGAATGATAAAGATATGCCTACACTGCAGGTGTCCCTACTGTTGAAAACTTAAAATTTCACGTCGATAATTTTCAGATTTCTAAATAATGTAATATCTTCTCAATATTGATTCGTCCTTTCTTCTGTCACAGAGAAAAATAGTGTTACACGGGAAAAATATTAGATTTTAGCTCACGGTTTTTTGTCTCCCTCCGCTACGCGTTGGGAGACAACACAACCTGGAGCTAAAATCTACTACTTTTTCCCTTGTATAATAAATAACTATCTTCACTACCACTACAAATAACTATTTTTCTCTCAGGTTGGCATAAAATGAATCAAGGATTAATTGGACCGTTATCAACTGATAATGTACTCAACAGCAAATTGAAGAGAAAAGAGCGATTATCTCCTCCAATCAGAGGCATCAAGTTGGATGATAATTTGGCAAATGTTTTGTTATTCTCGACTCAGTTTGCATGTGATGCCTTGATTTCATGTGAGAAGCAGCTGAATATAATTGACGCAGAAAAAGGTTACTATCACATCTCCAACACTTCCATTTTTCGTCAAAAAGGCTAAAAGATATCAGAAAGATTTTTTAGGTAAAAATTATGGAAATATTATATTGTTCGGATAGCTATTTCCCTCAACTAATGTTGAGATCTTCGACCTGAGCTACTATAGATGGCCATCCCTAACAACACAAGTAAATCCCAGGGACATCCCTAATTTTATACTAGGACATCCCAGGGATATCCTTTTTCGGGATGTCCTTCTGGTACGTCCCTGGGATGTACCAAGGATATTCCAGGGACATCCCGTCGACAAAAGGCACGGACCTTACTCCATTGGCTAATATGCCTTCTGAAGATTTATGTACTTGACAGATTTATAAACAGTACAAAACTGAAACCTGAATAAATATAACTTTGTTAGGATTTCATGTATAATTATTATCATTCTTGGGTGTTTAAAAATGAGGGGCATTATGCATTTACCATTTCTGTTTGCAAAAATGATCATTTCTTAAGAAGTTCTGAGACTATATTCTTCATTTTCATTACAATTATTTTCCGGAAGAAAATCAAACATTTTCAAAAGAATTCAACCCAATATTTTGATGAAATTCAATGACTCTGATGTGAATGTATATCAGATATTCCAGAGATACGAATAGGATATAACCTAGGGATGTACCGGGCGGGATGTCTACTGGACAATCATGTCCTTGTACCGCGGGACAAAAAAGGGACGTACCTAGGACATTCCTGTGTTGTTAGGGATATGATGACAATTTCTCTAAATATCTTTATGTGATTTTACTTGGTTCTTTGGGAATATACCACCTCCTCGATTAACCTACAGACAGTATCTTTATGTGAATTTATAAGTGCTTTTTCAATCAAATAACAATGATTATTATGTTTTATCATAAAAAAAACAACCAAAGTATGCATCACATGATACACATCGCGTTCGGAAACTTCTTTCTGAACAATCTGACAATTTGGTCATGCAGTTAACTTCTTACTTAACATAAAACCGAAGAATAGAAAATATAGGGTAGACTCTTGGAAATGTTCGAAACCGTAGAATGATAACTCTCAAATTAATTTTATGTTGGTTGTCTATAAAGTTGTTTCATTCATTTTCTACAGTACATATTATAACGATTATCTAAATACATTTTTGAGGTGATGGAGATACTGGTACTAGACTGAAAAATGCAGCTGAAATTCTACTCAAAAGAATGAAACAGGACAAACTGATAACAAGCTATCCATTCACGTTTTTCGAGTCCCTGAGCAAGATATTGGAATCGAGCCTGGGTGGTACTATTGGATGTATATATAGCATACTGTTTGAGGCAGCGGCAAAAGTTTTCAATGAATACTCGGAAAGTACAGAAATAACACCTTCCATATGGCTGAATTCATTCGAATGTGCTGGAGAGGCCTTGAAAAGGTTAGACATAGTTATTCAATTATCTGTGGCTTTTTAAAATCATTTCATCATATTAACAAGGTTGACACTAGTACCTATTTCATGCATGATTACCTATCTAATGTCTAACTTTTGGGGATGGATTAATTTCAATATCTATTTAGATAATGCTGCACTAACGGAGGTGAGTATTTTAAGGAGGGTGGGTATTGCATCAGTTCACCATAATCATCGATTGTATACAGGGTGTCTCTAAAAGGTCTGTACAAACCGTTAATACAGAAAGGCTGGAATATGAAGTCAAAGAAGGGAAGATTTGGTATATATTCACGTGCACACAGCCCAGCAACCCTCACTCATGGAATATGAAGGTCCAGCCCATTCTATTTCAGTGCAAAAATTAATTTAAGTTTCAGCAAACAACTTGGCAGTCAATGAAACATTTAAATTCGATTATCTCTGAAACAGCTCCTATAGGTGAAGCATTCAAACATTTTTGAAGGAATAACCACTATGACCCTACATTATCCGGAAAAATCAACTTGTAAATTGGTCTAGATCCCCATATTTTAGCCTAAGAATAATATGTCAGTGATTTATACAGACCTCCTAGAGACACCTTGTATAATGTATGAAACCAAAAATGAAAATGAGCGCCAAGAACAGTTTGAGGAGGAAACTTCCTCGTCTACGAATCTGTTTGATCAATTTAGGGCGCCAGAATGTCTTTTAGGAGAATATTTTTCGAACTAGAAGAGAAATGTGGAAAAATTAGAAAAGCGAGTAGGTGAATAATGGATTTTTCATTCTAAAAAAGAGAAGAAACTATCCTCTTTCTTCAAAGCGCCTCCAGGTAGGATCTATTGGCAGTCAATAATCAAATTTTTCGATGGTTCCACAACATCTATGAAAATATAATATATTTGTTGAATAAGGACAACGAAAAAATTGGAGATAACGCTCGCCCTTCGTTTTATTAATTTTTTTTTTCCAAAATTTTTAAAATGAATTGGCAAAATTCACTTACTGCTCCCCTCCTCCAAATCCTTTTTCGGTTCATCCCTGTTCGAACAAGGTGTTACTGATTATCAATAAAATTTATCTATTAGGTTTTCTACTAGTGAAATTTCAAGCGCGATGTCATTTTGGGCCAAATCATCTGTTTTGTCATAACCACAGGTTTATTGAAATATTACTAATATTTTTGTTTACATAGAAATTAATCTCTATCGATCGCTGTAAATATCTCATTTCGGTTGATGATCTACTTATGACCTTTTGCCTTGTAGCCAATGAACTCAATATAAAAACCACTCAATATAAACACAAAACTCAATATTAACACCTGGAAGAGAGACTGTGTGTCATGGGCAGCTGCAACAAAGATAGCTTGTGTTACGGTAACCTGTCTCTTTGGCACTCGTGTTGTTTAATGGCGGATTGGTGTATAAATTCTCTTTTATCTAATGATATGAGTACTTGAGATCTGTTTTTTTCATCTGAACAGGCAAAAATATGAAGACAGAACTTCATTGTTTTTTGTTATGTGAAATATCGCTAAATTTGGCGTGTTTTATTACTTCAAAAGGGCTGTAATTTTTGGTTTGAATTGATTATTGTTGAAAAGATTTGTGATTTGGAATTAATAAACAATGGTTATTTATATTGCGTTGCCTTTGAATGCAAAACAAGCAAGACTAACAGAAATTGTCCTTCATGGGTAAGTTGAAAATTGTTCAGTTTCTTAGAAAAACTATAGTAATTTATTTTCAGGATGTGTCTGTGGATGTTCATAACTTGGATTCTAAGGACGTTTTACATATAAACATTGATTTGCTTACAACTTCCAGCTCCATGTAAGTTTCAAAGTTTATTGATAATGAAACCCACAAACAGTTTCATTCGAGAAGGCCTATATTCTATTGCAAAGAATAGTGAAAACACTGGAACAAAAAGTAAAAAGGAGAATGACAATCTTGATGAGGTACTAAAAAAACATTTTGAAGGTTAAAACTACAAGTTCAAATTTTCAAACTCAAGAGCTACATCATAATATTGTCTTTTCAGATTTGCCTTTGAAGCTCCTCCTTCTCCAGAAAGGAAAAAATGAAGATGTACATTCTGGGCGACGCAGATATTTATCTTTAATGGAAAAATTCGTCCTAACATTGTACTTTTATTTACTATTTATTCACATTTCATTCACCTAATAGTGAAATGTTCATGGAAAAATAGGTACTCTCAAAAATTAGGCTCTAAATAGACCTTAGGTACTCGATACCATTCGATAACCGCTTTTCAAATTTTTTCTTTCGTTTTTCTATTTCTTCTTCCTAATACTGTAAGAATAAAAATGGAATTTCACATTTGAGTCAATAAAAAAAATCAATAATTATTTTCAAATAATAAATGATTGCAACATTATGCTTTTTCCTAAATCACTCTTTGACATCATTGGAACACCGTAGAAAGGTCGGCGACCTTTCACTTTTCTATCGATACTTCCACGGGAAATGTTCTTCGGAAATCTCTGCTATCATCCCTTCACTAGCAATAACAATCAGACGAACTAGACAAGCCCAGTTAGCAAATCCTTTCGTTGTCAACCTCGAAAGATGTCGAACAGCACTTTATCAAGACTCCTTCATCCATAGAACGGCTAGGCTCTGGAATTCATTGCCTGTGGAAGTATTCCCAACATCATATAATCTCCAAAAGTTCAAAAAAAATTCCAATACCTACCTCCTGTCCCTATCCTCCCTAGGAACGCACGATGTTCTTTGAACATTATAGGGATTCCCTTTCGTGCGCTCCAAGCGATAAAAAAAATAAAAAATAAAAATAGAAGCAAATAACAAGAAAATATTTCAAATAATGCGAGCGCTTCCCATTAGCTAACATAAGATCCGTAACCTCTGCGGGTTGCCTGAACAATATTTTTGCCTCACTCGTCGTTCACAGTAGATCCATTCCAGGTGTATATTGGTGTTAATATTGAGTTAATTGCTTGTAGTCACAGGAATATTCTTGGTTAACGGCTGTTGGTGTTTTTATTTTGAAGGTATGGAAATGTAGAGGACGGAGATGGTACGATGTATGATCCTATTTATGCTTTCACACAAACGTCAAGACACGAATTCGAACAAGGTAATAACTGTATGGACTCTTTCGGGAAAGGAGTAAAAGTTGCCGAAGAAACAGCTCAGTTAACGAAAAAGCCTAAATATAGGTATCCCGATTCTGGAGCACATGCTGTAGGTATATGGATGAGAGCAGTATTTGAAGGAGTGAAACTTAGGTGTTCATTCGACTAATTGAATTGTATAAAGTATGTGCAATTTGAATCCGTAAGACCGTCGTATTCTGGAAGACGTTGAAAAAAATAATAAATTGTTTTAATCATCGCATTTTTATTGAATAAATAGTGTTCACTTATTCCATTTATATTGGTATTGGTATTGGTAGGTTGGATGGTAACAGATGCGCTGCGACCTAATTAGATCTATTGTGCCCCATCTGCTTTCTGCTATATCAAGGATTTCTTGTTCATAGCAGCCCCTCAAGATTCAATTCCTTCAGGAATTTGAGGATTTTGAGGGGATCTAATTGTGGTATTTCTTCCACAGTCAGATGGTGTTTTCCCAGTATGTTCAATCTTTAGGGATATACAGCGTCACACTTCATCAGTATGTGATGGGGTGTTTCTGGTTGTTCCTCACAGAATCTGCAGGTGCCGTCCTCCTGTGAGCCTAGCTTCCTTAGGTGTTCTTTGAGTCTGCAATGCGTCGTTAGAAATCCCGTTATTGCTTTGAGACTTCCTTTGCTGAGGTTTATCAGTGTCTTAGATTTTTCTCGGTTGAAATTTCCGAGGAGATCTTTAGCCTGCCGCAGTCCTTGAAGTCTTCTCCATTGTCTGGCTCTCAAGGCTCCTTCCGCCTTTTCAAGTTCTCCGTGGAAATAGGAATTTCCAAGGCCGCAGAATGGCTCTGGTCCGATCAGTGGCGTTGAAGCCCCATGGTCGTGCCAGAGTGTCTGCTTGTTCATTCCCCTCCACTCCGATATGCCCTGGCACCAGAGGAGGATCACTTCAATGTTACCATCTTCGAGTTGATGTTAGAAGAGCTCAACGCTTTGATGGCTGCTTGGCTATCGGATAAAATCGCGATATCCTTCTTCCGGTATTTCCTGTCTAGGTTGAACTGGATGCATCTTTCCATGGCGCGTATTTCCGCTTGGAAAATGCTGGGGAATTGTCCCATGGATTCGAAGTATTTGGTGCGAGGCCCAAAGACTCCTGCTCCAGTTCCCTCGGGTGTTTTAGACCCGTCCGTATACCAAGTAATGGTGTTTCTTCCCAGCGCTTCGATGGATTCTATGCTCCATTCGCGCTTGTTGATCAGTTCCACTCGGGAGTTCTTCTCAACACTGAATTTCCTAATGATTTGGTCTGTTGGAAGATCAGCGAGGTGTGCAATCAGAGTGGGGGATGAGCCCCTTGCACTGTGCGTTTTCCCTCTCAGTCCGACCGTGCGTTTTCCCTCTCAGTCCGACCTTGGCCAACCTGAGATGTGCTCAATAGGCAGGTCTCCTCACCACGATGTGTAGAGGTGTGAGATCCAGAATGACCTCTAGTGCTGCTGTTGGAGCTGATCTCATTGCTCCTGTTATGCAAAGACATGCCAATCTTCGCACCTTCTCTAATATTTTCCATGTAGTGGCGAGTTCGGTTTTGCCGAGCCACACTACTGCTCCGTAGGTGATCATAGGTCTCACTAGCATGGTGTACATCCATCGCAGTATTGATGGGTTACACCCCCACGTTTTGCCTGCAAGGTTCCTGCACACCATCAGTGATGATTTTGCCTTACTGGCGATTTTTTCTACGAGTCTGTTCCAGAGAAGCTTTGAGTCTAGGATGAGCCCTAGATACTTCACTTCTTGCTGCCATTCTAGGTCTGCTCCGCTAGACGGACAAACCTCAAGTGCTGAACCTACGTTCTTCTAGTAAGAGGTACCAATGTGGTTTTCGTTGAGTTAATTCTCAACCCCACCGAATGGCACCATCTTCTGGTAGTCTCTGGCTCTCTTTCTATGAGGTCGCAGAGGGTCCCTTCAAATTTGCCTTTGGCCATGATGACTATGTCGTCCGCATATCCAAAGCAAGTTACTTCGTTCTCAGTAAGAATCCCGAGTTCGTCTACCACTAGACTTCACATCAGTGACAGTACCTCTCCTTGTGAACAGCCTCTGTTCGTACTGATTTGAATGCTGCTCTCGCCCACTTTCGTTTCAGCTGTTCTTGTGTTCAGCATTTGACACATCCATCTGGATGTGGTTCTGTCCACTCCCTTGTTCATTACGGCTCTCTTCATTGCTTCATGAGAGATGTTGTCAAATGCCCCCTCTATGCCTATAAATGCGCATATGGCGATTTCTGTTTGCTCAAGTGATCTCTGGATGTTTTCTGTAAGCACGAAAAGGGCGGTTTCAGTTGATCCTGGGTGCAAAGGCACCCTGTACAGTATCTTACATCTGATGTAGTTATCTACGATCGTCTCTAGTGTCTTCGGAAGGGTAGGGTCCTTCCATTCATATACGTGTCTAACTCAATAAAAGTCTATCTCGGTAAAATCGAAATAGGTGCATACAGGGTGATTTACTTAGACCACGCATTAAAAGTTTTCGAACTTGCAGTTGGACTGAAAACTTGAACATTCGTATCTTGTGATGATCGCGATCATTTCCAATCTACCTGAAATATTTTTAGTCCACCATCTTCACAGGTTGTGCAAAAAATTGGCATAAACTTAATTATTCTGATAGAAACCTTTCATACGGTTCGATTGGTCTTTTAATTCAGAATTGAAACAACCTAATTTATTGATTTATTATTGTTTAGCTTTGATGAATGAACAGGGTTTCAATTACATACATCAAGGTGTGAATCCTCGGGAGATTTCAAGGAGATAAGCTTATATCAACATATGTGTCCTAAACCTCTTAGTTTTTGAGCTACAGGGTGAAGGTAAAAAATCGATTTTCGTTCCAGAACAAAATGTGTTTCTACTCATAGTAGGTGCCAACTCGATTTTTACAAAATACCAAAAACTATCTCAATGAACTGGAGAAGTTTTTTTGTTTTTATTTTTTTACGCGAAAACGGTACGACGTATGAAAGTAAGACTGGTAGCCAAATTTTCTCAAGAATAAATGGGGATTACAAAAATAATTTTGGTTTTCAAAAAAATTGTCAGTTCAAAACCCGTACGGACGTCACTGGTGAAAATTTTGAAATATCTTGTAGGTCAAACAATGCTCCCTTATGATGAGAATGTGTGTACAAAATTTCATAAAAATATCTGAGAGTGATAAAAAACTAACTTTTTTCCTACAAATATCTATACAGGGTGTCCGGAAATTATGCGCAAAAAATCAAGGGGGCGATTCTGCAAGAGAAATCATGAAATTTATTTTATATACTTGGGTCCGGAAATTCAGAGTTTTCAAGATACAGTGCGTTAAACTTTTGAGAAAAAATCGTTTTTTTATGAACATCCCAAATATCCTTCCACCGATTCCCTTGAAATTTGGCAATGATATTCTATGTCATGAGGAGCAGATTTAGTCATGAATAAATTGGAATTGTGAAATCCAGTGGCGTCCCGGGGGCAACCTACAGAATATTATTGTCAATAAAATGTGCGCCACTGATTTTTTCAAATTCTATATCTACATATCTTAATGATTAACTAAAAATACAACATTTTGAACTCCTGAATTGTTTTGCTGCATTTCCGTGGAAAAAAATAAATACCAATTCATTGTATAAGGTTGTGCAGAACATTGCTTCAGAAACAGGGGTGAAATTAGATGTGTGATCCATGTCCATTGACGTAGAACGTAGAATAAGAATGAAGATCCATTTTCTTCAAATATTTTTTGATACATGTTTGACACACTTTGTTTTATCGAAAACTACGCCTTCCTGGACCGAGAATACATAGTTCTCAATATACAGAGTGTAGAGTGTGTCAAACATGTATCAAGAAATATTTATTTTCACCCCAGGTATTGGAGCAGTTTGTTGGCACAAATTTATTTAATAAATTGGTATTTATTTTGTTCGATGGAAATGAAGCAAATCATCAAAACAATTCATGAGACCAAAATATTGTATTTTTAGTTGGTCAATAGGTTATAAAGATACAAAATTCAAAAAAATCAGTGGCGCACATTTTATTGACAATAATATTCGGTAGGTTGCCCCCGGGACGCCACTGGATTCCATATTCCCAATTGAATCATGGCTATATTAGCTCCTTATGACATAATATATCACTGCCGAATTTCAAGAAAATCGGTGGAAGAACACATGAGATATTCATAAGAAACTAATCTTTTTTAAAAGTTTTAACACACTGTACAGGGTGATTCACCATAAATGTCCCCCCCCCTCTAGCTCAGTTATTTTTGAATCGATTTTGAAAATTGAAATATCATCTTGAATGATGTTCGATAAAGTTTTTTCCGCTAGATCAGAAAATACAGGGTGCTCGGAACAAACGATCTACAGGGTACTATTTGATTTTTTTAAATGAAACACCCTATTTTTCATTGTATTTTTAGATTCTCCCTGAAGAGCTGATTTGGTCAATGCATCACACTTGGGGTCTAGCGGGACTGATTACAGAGATATAGGGTGTTCAAAATCGAGATTTCTAACTTTAGGATTTTTTTGTGACGAAAATTATTCATTATCGGTCACGCGGTTTTCATGTCCGTATCTCAATTTTACTATCTACTGACATTTAATAATTGGAACAGATACAGGGTGACCAGAATTCTGAATCTTGAACCACCCTGTGAATGTTCCAATTAAATTTCACTAGATAATAAATCAAAAGTTGAGATGGGAACATATAGAAGCCGCTTTGACCTATATAATGAATAGTTTCGGCACAAAAAAATCCTAAAGTTGGAAAATCTCGATTTTAAACACCCTATATCTCTGTAATCATTCCCGCTAAACCCCAATAAGTGTGATGCATTGATGAAATCAGCTCTTCAGAACGAATCTAAAAATACAATAAAATACAGGGTGTTCCATTTTAAAAAATCAATTAGTACTCTCTGTAGATCGTTTGTTCCGAGCACCCTGTATTTTCTGATGCAACGGGAAAAAAATTCTGAAAAATCATTTTAGATTATCTTTCAAATTTTTAAAACGGTTCAAAAATAAGTGAGCTAGAGGGGGGGGACATTTATGGTGAATCACCCTGTGTAGAAAACTATGCATTTCCGGACCCACGTAGATATGAAATGAATTTCTTATTTCATCATGTAGAATCACCCCCTTGATTTTTTGCGCAGAATTTTCGGACACCCTGTATCTTCAAAAGTTTGATCAAAATCTGGTTCGTGTTTCGCTCTGTAGACCTGCCATTGCCATTATTGCCTTTGTCGCGAACCACCAGACTTTTTAGGTAAAAAACCACATAGAGAGAGATCACTATAATAACACACACGTGAGAATGTGAATTGTCTCCAGTACCACAACGTGGTACCAACGCGTGCGCGACTAAGCTATAGCGTGCTTCTTTCAGTTTCTTTCTGTCACTGGACTTGTTTATCATTCGTTTAGAATCGAACAGCTTTACCGCTTGCTACGATCCTGCTGCCTATCATTTCATTCTCAATTTGACGTTTCGTTCGGCGAGATTCACGTGCAGCCATAAAATTAACAGTGATTTCGCGGCGTTTTATCGTTCTAAATTGTGTGGAGACAGCGAAAATGCCTGCCGATCAGGAACTGAACCAAGTACTGGTGAGGAGACAAGAAATCAACGAAGCACTTGATAATGGTCAGGAAGTCAGAATTAAGTACAGAATTGTGAATGTTTACACAGAATTTCATGAGTTCACCAGGAAGGAAATCAAGTCTATCGAAGCTACATTCAAAAAGTGAGTAACTCATTTTAGGCCAATTATCTTGTGAATACGTATTGAAACTATACTCCTGAGTAGGTATATATGTCCTACGCCTGGGTTGACTCTTCAGAACATTTAGTTATGATCCATAATAATGGGTAGACGCTTATAAAAAAAAATCACGAATACTGGCGAACATGATTGTGGTCTCAGGTGTTATATTTCCACGAGTATTTCGAATTCAAGTTTTTTCGAGATTGTTCACTTATAAAGGGGGGTACAATATAAGTGTTTCAATGAATTATTCATCTTTGAAACTATTTTTGTTGACGCAAAGGATTTTCTTTTGGTGGGGTAGTAGGAGAATTTTCCTTTCCTGGCAGAGATCCTCCCATGTCCCATGGCCCATGCATACCAGAAATATAATATATAATAATCAGAAAATACCAGAGCAATATTATAGAAGAAATGCAATAATAAGTTGCCATCAAGCATATATAAGTGAATAAATTTCAGCGGATTCATTGATACACCTACTCGAGTAGATATTGTTCGTGGTATCACATAGAAATTATGGATGATGGGTGGAATTCGGTTGTTACAATGATGAACATAATGTAAACATCACAAAAATGCATCATGTGGGAGAAAACCTCTGGAAGAAATCATTACCTATCTCGATATGTCTTACCTTTTAATTTTGTTAGCCCATTTCAATATCATCGATTATCTCCGAGATTATCTCTAAGCAAATTTTGGAATATACTAGAATGCATGGATGCAATCGAATCCAATATTACTCACTACGAATTTTTCAAATTTGGAACTAATTGTGAAAATTTGACCGTTAATAAAATTAGTTTTTGAAACCTAGGTAGGTACCTCTAGTATCCTACTAGTAGTAGCAACCTCCAATAGTGAGTATATTCTTGGATGGAGCCTCTATATAGTACCGCTTTGGAACCCCATGGAAGTAAACCCCGAGTCAATTCAAAATATTTCAACAACGATTAAAGATTGAGTACATACCAATTAAAACATGTAAGAAAAATATTAATTGATAGTGTGCGAGGAAAAAACGATAGACACCATAAAATCTTTCGGAAGCCTAACGACTATTAATAGATTTTATGGACTATTCAAGTTTTGATTGTGTTTACCTATCGTCAACACCAATCGATGAAAAGGCAAACCTTATCTATTTCCCAGTCTATTTCAGGTACATTTGCCCTAGTTCCTAGTTGAACTTTTAATATAATTATAAGTCTGGATCTCAGAAAAGGCCTCGGAAAAAGCCTTTTAAAGGGTATTCGGGCATATCAATAAGAGTTTCCGGGTGTTCTTTGTTGTTTTTTGTCATGCTGTAAAATGACAATCTTTTCAATCTGCAATCTGCAGACTAGTAGGTCTAATATTACGATCTAATTATGACGAGAATTTTGATTATGGCGTGATACACAGTAGATCACCGTATTTACTCACATTGTTGAACATTGTTTTGAAAATGGTCTTCTGTAGTGATCACCGCTAGAGTCGCCGCTTTTTCTAGTTTAAGAATGTGCATGAGAGAAACACTCCCTGAAGCTGATAAACATAAATTATTTTACCCCAACTGAGAGAATTTCAAGAAGTGTCTAAATCTTTCGAACCAATCCCATCACGTGATATGTTGAGATTCTTGTTTTTTGATTCTTATTTTTCGAAATTAAATTGTGGAGGCTGAGTTTGGTCAGAGAATTTTATTCTGGTCCACTAATAGCATGGCGTCACCTTTCTACGGTGTTCCAATGATGTCAAAGAGTGAGTGAGTGTGGCGTCACCCACCAGGCGAATGGCTCTTCTCTGGATGGAATCTAAGAGCATCAGCGTATGTTTTGGTGCTGAACCCCATATGTGGGAACAGTATTCTAGAACAGGCCGTATCTGCGCGTTGTAGATCATGAGAAGCTGTTGAGGTGTAAAGTAGCTTTTCGCACGGAACAAGAATCCGAGTTTTTGTGAAGCAGCTCTTGCGATGGATCTGACATGATTATCCCATGAAAGAGTGTTCTGATGGAAATACCGAGCAATTTGTTTCATTGTTTCTCCTATGCTACATAGTCCCAGGGTACACTCACCAATAATTCCCAACGATATTATGTCGGTAATAGGTATACCTACCTACATTTGGATTAATTTGAAATGAGTTTCAACCTCGGTTTTAAACAGTCTATAGAGTGAAGATAAAAAGGTGTCTTAGTAAAACTTGAAATATCGTTTCTACTCTTTTTACTCACTGTTTTACATTCGGTGTCACAATTTAATCCTGCTTCTGTTTATACAGGGTATCCGGATAATGTGGAAAATGTCTTGGATTTAGATAATACCTGATGAGAAAATAAGATGACCCGTTTCTATAAACATTGGTCTTGAGACGCTTCTTATTTTATTAGGTAGGTATTCTATTTGCATCCATGAGATTTACTACATATTCCCGGACTACTAGTAAGTATAAACCTCGGTATAAACAAAACGTAACAAGCAGAAGACTACTATCGAGTCTGCATTCATAAAAAATCGCTGACATTTGATTAAATTTATTTGACATGTGAAACATCATCCTTACCGAGTTCGCATCTTTGTAATACAATAAAAAAAACTCCCCCACAGTAAATCACATCGATACTCAGAATATCCTGAAATGTACTTTGAAATGTATATGGGTACCTCGATGAGTACTTTAGTTTGCCATGCCTGAAAAGTTACCATGTGGTGTATAGTAGGTAATAATAATTGAAACTACCAATTTCAGTAAAATTCGAGGTGAAATTTCACCTAATTTCTCATTTCTTTGACAAAAAACTTTACTAAAAGAAGTTGGGGGAGTAGATTCATCTAGGGCCGCTTCAAGGAGTAAGTTTTTAAAATAAAAAACTAATTGGTGTACTTTTGAGAGTTTAATAAATATTAAAAACATACCAATAATTAATTATGTGAACATGAATTTGTAAAACTTTCATTTTATTTCATACGAGTACATACTTCAGTACCAATGTTTATCGCACAATTATTCATCAGAATTCATTTATTTATCGAGAATGTTTTTATCCAATCCTAGAATATGACGTTGGATAGAAACAAGACTAACTTTGAATAAAAACAAGATTGACCTTGAATTCTAATGAAGCCATGCCTAGGGAGTTCCATTTGGAATGACGAAATTTCAGTGAACTTCTGGTATAATAACAGTCGAAAATCCAAAAGGGAAAGTATTCCAATTCCTATCCATTCAGCAAGAAGCCTGTACGCCGAACTCAACAACTCAATAATCATTCGATAATTCTAATCGTTTCAATCAAAGTTTTCATGAATCAGCTTGAAGGTGTGTATACATATCATTTATTTCCTCATAAGGGAATGCCTTTGGCGGCTTTATTCATTACTAACGCTACTTATACAGGGTGTATCTGAATAACACCGATATTTTAGGAAATGAAGTTCATATGAACATGTGACCTAACTTGTTTCGTTTTCGAGATACAGGGTATATTAATATTTCCACGAAAGATCGTTTTTTTATTCATTACTCAATTGTATTTTCATCAATTTCTATAAAACGTTGTGGTTTTGTTAATAGTAATATGGAGCTTCTCCTGGTGCAAATTGATTCGAAATAATATTTCCAGTGGCGTCACAGTGGGTATATTTATCGATATTTATGGTGAATGTGATTGTACGCCACCGGTTTTTCTGGGTTTAATATTTTTATAGATTGAACTATTGAAATGACAACCTTTTCATCCTCTGTGTGATTTTTGTATCTAGCTTAGTTTTTGAGGAAACATTTAAAATTCGATTCGACTCCAAATGTACAGGGTGGCTGGAATTCGAGCCTCATCATTGGGATTTCGTAAACCGTAAGAGATACAGGGTCGGTTGAATTATGGCAAAGTTGCGCAATTTGATGCTCAACAAAATTCCGTTCTGAACTTTGGAAAATTCCGGATACTTTCGGAGATATCCGAAAAAAATCGAAATTCCATAAAATCGTTTTTATTTTTTTTTTGCGTTATTAAAAGAAATTAATCGATATGAATAACACTTTATCATGGCTACTTTTTCTTCTCTACAACATGGCGTTATCAAATTTAAAATCTGACGTTTCGTCTTCCAGAAACCATCATCAACTTACTTTTTTTAAATACGGACCTGGATTTTTTATTTAATTTTTTGTTACCTTCAGATAGCCCAAAAACTATGAGCTATCACAAATTTTTATTTTCAAATGTTTCAATGACTAAAATTCACAGTTTCTCTATTTTTTCAAAATATTTAATCCGAAAATATTTTGTAAACATTATTATTAGTTATTATTCATCACTAATATAACTAAGGGTAAAAAATATGTGAACTATGTAAATAAATTGTAATAAGAACAAAATGAAATTCTATAGTAAATGCTCGAATTTGCATTTGCATTTTCGTATGCGTCTTCACAAATTGCCAGTAAGTGCGCGCTGGATCATTCTTCCTCTACCTCGTAGGGTTGTTATTTCAAACATTAAATTTTGTCGTAAAATATTCATGTCCCGTGGAATATCTTTAAATAAACGGTTTTTCAAATATCCCGATAAAAAGTAATCCAGCGGGGATAAATCGGGGCTTCTTGCAGGCCAGCGCACCACTTCTTGGTTTCCAATCCACTGATTGGGAAATGTTTCATTTAGATACTGAGTAACGGCCCTTCCATTGTGGGGTGGTGCGCCATCCTGTTGCCACCATAGTTGCTGGAGTATATTTAACGGCTCGTCTTCAAGAGCATCTAAATTTTGGATGAAATGAAGGTACCGATCACTATTTAAATTCCCATCATGAATAATTGGCCCCAAGATTCTGTTTCGATACAGCCCCACCCAGACATTGAATGATCCCCGTCCCTGCCTTCGCACTTGCTGATTTTGGTGCGGATCTTCCACTGCATAATAATGCTCATTATTTCTGTTGAAAAGGCCGCTCGTAGAAAAATTGCATTCATCAGTCCAGATAATGTTATT